GAGATGCTGTGCGCTGAACGGGATGGGATGCCAAGATTCTCCAAAAGCTAAGGTAAGGTCGGAGCTCGTAGCTTCGGTATTTAAGGTACCTTACCATAAGGTAGGTAGGTAGGTACGTATACTTATACGTACCTACCGAGCCACCTTGCCTCACTCGCCTTATGAGTGCATATTGGGGGAACCGCATGTCAAAGACATCGATCCATGTTTTCTGTATCTACCTACTTCAACTTGACTTGAGGCACCTAGAGGTGACATGTATTACCGGACACTACGTGAGGTGGTCCAATTGCTTCTGGGTCCTCGAGACTTGAGGTACTTGTAGGTAAGGTAGAATCCGAGCCCGGAAGATGGTGTGGGGCAGCTGGTCTGAAGCCAAGCACCACCTCAGCCAGTAACCTTCGACCTGTCCCTGACTGAGGTGCTGTAATGTACCTACCTTAGCCTGGAGATCAACCTAAATGCGAGTACCGGCGGGGATGCTCACTTGCGTGCTTACCTGCGCCTCACCTTCCTCACCTTACCTTACCGTATGGATGATGGAAACTTGGGCCTCAGCGGTTCAATCTTGAGCCCCGACAACCTAAGCTGGAGCTCCTATGGTATCAGCCAGTCAGCCCCCGCGTTATAACTTTGGCCGATACAACTGTCGTCCGTCAATTCGGGCTCACCGCTTATCGCTGATACGGATGGCCAAATATAACCCAAGGTGGATATATTTCAGGTCACTGTGCGTCATCGTTGAACACTTCCAGGAGCTGGCTTCACTATGTTAGCCACGAATCGCTGCCACAATGGTATTGACACAAGCCTATGGCGCTATCTCCGCTACCTAGCTCGTCTACAATGCCCGCCCATCTACACTATTCGTACGCTATGCGGGTGATACCGATCCATCCATTCCCGTGTTTCCAAGCCTCTTGCTTTCGTCGTGAAAGTCCTCTGTGCGGATACATGGTCGACACGTTCATATCCCGCAGCTATTCCCCTCGAAACATCAGTAATTGTTGCGTCCGCCGCCATATCTGCCACCTCCACCTCCACCGCCGCCGCGTCCACCGCCGCGTCCACCGCCGTAGCCGCCGCGGCCCTGGTAGCCCCCACGGCCTCCTTGCCGACCTCCGTCGGGATAGCTGTACTGCGAATGTGGCCCTGGTGGCGGTGGTCCGTAGTTTTGGTGCTGATTGTAGCCTCCTCCACGGTAGGAACCGTTGGATGCTCGCCCGTCGTTTCCATATCCTGCTGGAGGGGGCGGCGGTGGTAGGCCCATTCCGAACCCAGGGTGCCCCGGGGGAGGAGGTTGCCATGATGACTGGATAGGCGGTGGCCCCGACGACTGGAATCCTTGCCGCCCATAACCACCACCATTACCTCCGTACGAGGGCGGTCCCCGGTCTTGGCGGCCCTGTCCGCCATCAGGAGCGTAACTGAACTGGCCCCCCCTCCGACCGCCGTTGTGATGTCCACCACCGCGTTGAAAGGGTACTCCGCCGTAGCCACGCCCGCCTCGGGCTGACTTCCCCTTCAGAGTCTCAATATCGTTGCGATCTAGAGCTGGAGCCGGGGGCTTGGCGCCGCGCAGCAGCATTGACTTGTGAGGGTGCGAACTTTCTGGGAACGTGTACCAGACTCTGCTTCACTGTTAGTCCCGGCAACTGGCAACCTACACCCTTTACGATATCAACTTACCTCAGAGACCTGTCGTAGTCGAGATTCGGCATTCCACCGCGCTCCAGGGGATACACCAACTCTCCGTGAGGCAGATAGTCAGGAATCTTCTCAATGTTGCCAGCCAAACCGTCACTGGTCCGCGGACTGAGCTTGAGCGTCGGCGCTCCCTGTTTCTTAGAGTAGAAACCAGTGGTGATCTCATCATACAGTTCGTGGTGAGCATCTGATAAGAGCAGCACATCTCTTCCGACGCCATTTCGCGCCTTGTCGGCCTCACTCAACAGAGGGTACTTTGTCTCGATGGCGGCGAGCAGCCTTGGCATTTCGATAAACGGCAACAGTGCGACTCCCTGCCACGCCATCTTCTTTCCGTTTAGATCAATTTCGAAATCTGACGGGTAAAAGTCGATGACATTGCTATCTTCATTCAGCATAAGGTCATGGAAGACTTCGGGCAATGCGTGGCGAGAAGCTGCAGGCAGCACACTCATCAACTGCTCAAATGGCTTTGAGATCCGACCCTTTTCGAAATGAACATCCATCTTGTCAAGCTCGACAAAGTCGGCAGCGAAGGGCGCGTAATGGTATGGGTAATACCATTCCCATGAGGGACAGCCCTGGAAGTAATATAGCAGAACCCACGACAGGCCCTCCACGTAAGCCTGCGCAACCTTGTGCCGGAACTCGAGATCGCTCCGATCAACGTGGAACTTCTGTTCGTAGTATCGATCGGCGTAACCCTCTTCCCACATTCTGACATGATCCACCGCAGCCTCCTCGGCAGCGGACGTGCTGGGCCCCTTTGCGCTTGTCGCGGCGGAATCGGCCTTGGCTGTCGAGTCATCTTCGGCTTTGCGTTTTCCCAGTACGGAGGTCTCATCGGCTGACTTAGGGACCTCTTCTTTCGTGGCCTTCGCCAAGTCATCTTCCTGGCTGGGCTCATTCTTGGGCATCAAACCTTTGAGTTGGTCCCGTATAGCGCTTGCGGCACTCTTGTTGGCAGTGTTGGCATTCATGTTAGAAGACCGACCGACCACCTTGTCGTGGGTGATGCCATTTGGTCCTCCTGCCACAGCAAACAAGCTCAAGCCAGCAGTCGCATCGTCGACTTGCTTTGGTTTGGCAAACCTTGGGTTACGCTGCTCCTCTTGAAGCTTCCTCCGCTTGAAGCCGGCCTCTCTACGATCTTCGGTTTCCTTTCTCCTCTTGAAGATCGCGTCCTCTTGCTTTGCTAGGCCGTTGAGAATGTACTGCGCTCGGCCCAAGTCGACGTGACCGTCCTTTGTGACATAGCCGCCCATGAATGGCAAGTTGTCTTTCCAAATGGCTGTCAACGTGTCGATTCCGTTCTCACGGATCTCCAGTGCCGGTAAGTGAGGCAGAAAGTCGTTGCCAACAAAACAGCACATGAATACCCAGTCATCCAGTGCTCTCTCCAGGTCGAAGCGGAAGGGTAGACCTGGGACATTAAGCTCTACGGCCAAGTACTCCCGCAGAATGGGAACGTGGAGCCAGATGAAGGGCTTCAAAATGGGGCTCTTCTCCTGTTCGTCGAATTCGCCGACCTTCTCCTTGGCCTGTCCACGACAAGCGCGAGCCTCGTGGCCCTTTTGTCCACAAAGCTTGCACATCTTGGCCTTGCTATCTTGAAAGAAGACGTCCTCACGCAGAACTCGGAAGTGAGGCTCGTGAGTTGCGAGACCAAGCATGATCAAGTCGGCATCGAGGCCGTAAATGACGTGTCGGGTATTCGGGTCGTAGTCGGGAGAGATGCGCTGAGATCGCACGAATGACATGATCTTGTGTTCTCCCTCGCCGGGGACTGTTGCATCGGAGATGATGATCTTGACCTTTGCCCAGGCTGGGTCCGTGTTGAGCTTGTACGCGCACCAGTATCTTAAGCTCGAGGCCAAGATGTCCATGAAGGGAGTGCCGGGAGTAATGGAATTGGAGTCGAAAGCCTTCTTGGCGGCGCCCTCGAGCGTGTCATCAGGTACTGCGCCACCATTCTGCTGCTTCAACAACTTCAAGAGCTCTTGCTTATCCTCTTCTTTTTCCTGGGCCTCCTGCGCAGATCGGAACCGACGAGATCGTTGTTGATTCATCTTTGCACGTGGCGCGACGCCATCTAATCAAGAATCGTTTTACTCAGTAACGGTACCAACAGATGAAGTCAATGATGGGGAGGGAAACTAACCAACGGCAATCATCAGCAGCTTTCGCGGCCGGACCATATTGACGACACGATCCGTGTACCTAAAGACTTCAAGCATCATCTCCTCCTCGTCCTTGGGAGCTGGGCGATCCTCGGGGTGGGAACATGGATGGACGATACCGTTCATGTCGAGATACAAATTGTCGAGCTCCTCGCCATTCGGGTTAGGTCCGGTTGTGTCGACGGGGATTTCTGACCCATCATCCATCTTGACGGGTTGCTCCTCGATGACTGGGGAGATGATCTTGGGGTACTTGTTTGACAGCCATCGGAAAGCCGCCGGGATACCCATCTTGAATGATGTTGTGATATAACAAGGCAAACCTAGGGCTTATGTGGTGAGTTCGAAAGGCTGTTCGTCGCGCAAAGGGTGAAGCGAGCAAGTAGCTCCTGCGTCGCAAAGGAAGACTGTGTTGAGAGAATTGTGACGCATGGATGCTTGAGCCTTGTTGCTTGCGAGGTATTGCTTGACCGCAAATCAAGAGAAACAAAAATGTTTGACTATGGCAGTTGCGACCAGATCGTCAGCAATGGTTCGTAGTCGCGGAATCGAGATCGAAGGCGCAGGTGATGCAGCAGTGAGAATGGAAAATATGAGACTTCTCTGCGCAAGAGACAAAAGTGCGCCTACCTCAGGTTTGTCCTGTATTAATTAACCTTTGAGACGGGAAGACACAAGGTACTCTGACGAAATCAGACAGGGTGCCGTTGCGCGAAAGTTACCGTCGAAAAAGTGATGATTACGTAACATGGCATGCTGCTTCTTCGATGACCCCGGTAATCCGGTAGGCAGTCTTCACATATTCCAGTGACGTGAGTGTTGCATCTCATTATTACATACATAGCGAGCTATCTCTGTACCGGTGCGAGAAGCTGTCAAAGTACACCTTTCGTAAACGCTCCTGCGTGCGTCTAGATGTAGAAAGTCCCAGGCCTCTCGCCGTGCGACGAAATAAAGCTCTCCACAACAGCAGCCCAACCTAGTCGTCCCAATGCTTCGTCCTGTCTCTACATGACCGGTCCCTCTACAGCTTCTCGTGTTCAGCGCTACACTTCTCTCTGTCTTCCTCGCCGTCTGTTTCAGCTCCCGATGGCCGGCACTTAACAAAACAGCATGTTTTCCATTTCCACTGCACCGGCGAAGCAGTCGGTCGGTGAGACCATCACCGTTTTGAGTGGTCGGCTGAGCTCAGCCACGCTCCTTGAAGACCGCCGTGCTGCTATACTCGGTTTGCGCAGCTTTGCAAAGGACTTCCCTGCCTCTGTCGCCTCTGGAGCTCTTCGCAGTCTGATAGGTAGCTTGAGCAAAGATGCCGAAGATGTCGACACTGTCAAGGTCGTCCTCGAGACCCTGCTCATGCTATTCAGTCCTAACGAAGACAGCCCGGAAGCCTCGGAGGAGATTGCTCTCTGGCTCGCTGACGAGTTCACACAGCGCCAGGAGAACATAACGATCCTCCTAGACTTTCTCGACTCTACTGACTTCTACTCGAGGCTGTACTCTCTTCAGCTGCTAGCCGCCATCCTCTCTGCCCGAACCGAGCGCACAGAAGAGTGCATCTTCACTGCGCCGCTGGGAATTTCTCGCCTTGTCGCGGTGTTAGACGACAGCCGCGAGGCCGTTAGAAACGAAGCCATCACACTCCTCACCTTTCTCACGCCCTCGTCGACCGATATCCAGAAGCTCGTGGCGTTTGAGAACGCCTTTGATCGACTCTTTGGCATCATCTCTGCAGAAGGTTCCCTTCCCGACGGGGATCGTGTCGTGGAGGACTGCCTGATTCTGGTCGCAAACCTTCTCAGGAGGAATCCATCCAACCAGTCTCTGTTCCGCGAATCGGGCGGTATTCATCGTTTGTCTGTTTTACTAGAGGGTGCAGAGAAGGCTCAACGGGTGGACGCAGAGATTGCAGCGTGGGCGCAGGCCCAGCGTGACCGGAACATATACGCGCTTCTGGCTGTCGTTCGTCTGTTTCTAGTAGCAGGGGCCGTGGGGACGCCGCAGAACCAGCTTGCCCTATGGCAACATGGCTTGCTGTTCCACGCCCTACAACTGGCCTTCAGCCATGTAGCCCAGCTTCCAATCAAGGCCGAGGTTGGTTGTCTCCCATCATTGATCTTTGTGCTATCATGTTAAGGTGCCTGCAGGCTCTAGCAACCTGTGCCGACATCATCAGGGGCAACCCGAGCCTCCAGGAAGGATTCGCGCAACTTCAAGTCTCGTCTCCTCTCGAGCCACCTTCGTCAGCCGGGTCTGGGCAAGCCAATGGCGTCGTCAAAGTCTATGTGATTGATGGCCTCCTAGACCTCACCCTCAGCGTCCAGGATCTGGAGGCGTTCGATTTACGTTTAGCCGCGTGCGACTGTCTCAAGGCTTACTTCTACAATCACGCAGACATTCGCTTACATTTTCTGAGGAGAGCGATCGAAGGACATGATATGGGGGCCGACGAGACGGCCAATGTGCTAACGGTGCTTTTGCGGCCTTCTTCAGACGCAGCCGTCGCTAATCCTTATCGGAGTTGGTTTGCCTCCACCATCATGATGCACTTGGTTTTTGATAATCCAAAGGCCAAGAACTTGGTCATGGCTGTCTCAGAAGGCGATGCTGAAAGCGGGGAGGAAGTCGTCACGAGCATTCAGACCATTGCTGCTCATTTGATATCCGGCTTGAACCGGGACGAGGACAGCCGGGTTGTTGTTGGCTACCTCATGCTGCTCCTTTGCTGGCTGTATGAGGACTTGGATGCGGTCAACGACTTTCTTGGAGAAGGGACCAACACTCAAAGCCTGATACAGGCAGTGAACCATCCATACGCAACTGGCGACCTTGTCCAGGGTCTTTGCGCGATGCTTCTGGGCGTTCTCTATGAGTTCTCGACGAAGGACTCACCGATTCCCCGAGCTGACCTTCATTCCATCCTCGTTTCTCGGATGGGCCGCGAAAAATACATCGACAAGCTATCTAAATTGAGAAGCGACCCACTGGTTAGGGATTTTGAGGTGATCCCTCAGAATCTTAGCAACTCCGGATTAGGCAGTTTGCCAGACGTATACTTTGACTCGACGTTCATCGACTTCTTCAAGGACAACTACAGTCGCATTCTGCGTGGCATCGACCGAGACCCCAGCCTAGAAATTTCCGTGGTCAAGAATGGTGTCCAGACGGGGGTGTCCAGAGAACTTGTAGACTCCCTGCGGAGTCAATTAGCTGAAAAGCAGCAGGCCTTACAGGAGGCTCAAGTCAGCTTAGAGACGGTTAGTCGACAACTCGGTCAGGAACAAGCCGACCATCGGCGAACCCGGGAGACGACTGCTATGGAATTGGCCAGAATCAACCAAGTCAACGAGGGAATGCAGAGACAACACGATGCAGAGCTACGGTAAGTCTGGATGACTAGTTTTTAGTGATATTACTAACGAACCAATTGTGCAGGAATCTGCAAAATAAAATTACAAGTCTTCAGGAAGAACTTGAAAAGCAGATTGAGCAGACACACCGCAAGATTGATTCTCAAAATGCGGCCCTGGAACAACAATACAGCAAGCGATTAGAGGAGGATCAGCGGAGGGCAGCCACTCACGTCGCAGCTCTCGAGAAACAGAACAAGAAGCAACTTGAGGAAGTGCAGAGAAACGCAGCTTCCAGCATCAAAGCGCTCGAGGAGGAGCTTGAACAGCAGGCTGAGCAAGCGCGGCAGACCGCCAAAGCCCAGGCAGCTTCGCAGTCCGAGGAGCATCGCAAGCAGCTAGAGCAAGTGCGCAAGACAGCCGAATCGGACGCCGATCGCTTTCGCCACCGGGCTGAGGCGGACATGGCAGATCTCAAGGCCACCATCAGCCGTCTTGAGGTTGATCTTATGAAGGTGACTAAGTAATCACGTTATTGCTTGGATGTGAGGCTGACTCTTTCACAGGCCAAGAAGACCAAGGCGCAGGAGATTCAGGCCATTCGGGAACAGCTTGAAAAGAAGGAGCACGACCAGCAGAGCCTTGCTACCAAAGCCAACGCCCGTGTGGAGCAGCTCGAGAAGAACTTACGTGAGACGCGAGAGAGGGTTACCCAGGTGCGAGAGTCCGCTGCTGAAACCTTGACGTTGAGAGAAATGTGTGTATTCTGACATTGATCTCAGTGCGACGTGACTATCAAGAAGGCCGAGGAGGATAGGAAAGCAACTCAAAACGAGCTTGATGATTTGCTCATGGTATTTGGCGACCTAGAAGAGAAGGCGGCCAAGTATAAGGTGAGTCGAAAACAAAGACTTGAGCAAGTGTCTCGGACTAATCTGGTGCATATCAAGGCAAAACTCAAGGAACTTGGAGAAGCAGTATCTGATGGCGAAGACGACGATGAAGACGAAGAAGACGAAGATGAAGGTAGCGAGGAGGAGGATGAGGAAGAAGAGGAAGAAAACGACGACGACAACGACGACGACGAAAAAGACACGAAAAGCAAGGATCTGAAAAGCACGTCAGGCGCATGAGTCTTTAGCATAATGCTTGTCAATCCAGATTACGATCAGCTGCATGCACACGCGTTGGTTAGAGGGCGTGAATACTTCAGGAGGGTCCTATCTGTCTCTGCAGCTGTATTTCCTTAAGTTGGGATCTAACTAAGTCCTAGCCCATTTGCCTCTGCCTGCTTGTGCGCATCCTGGCCTTGCTCTTCTACATTGTCATGATGTCTTGCCAAAGAAGAGGCCGCGTCGGCGAGACTTGCAATCGGTGTCCTGGCATGCGGACAATCATCTGGTCATTATCCATCGCGTCCTGGAAGAAGGCGAACATTGTGTAGGCCGCATTAGAAGTCCATCTTGAGGATGAACGCCTCTAGCCGACCACTACCAGCAGTCTTTGGGCTCAATCGACGGTGATCTGCGTGTCGATGACATGGCTCGAAATTGCGGATTCGGAGGCTGTTGCTGATTCATCTGAGTTTCCACAGTTGCGTCTTGCTGTTGTCCTGGCCTGGTACGGTCCAAGTATTGCTGATAGTCAGCGCCCGGGGGTTATTTTCGGGTGCCTTGAAGACAATATTGCCAGAGATCTCGGTGCCGGCGGTGACACTGGCGTTCTCCTCGAGATACTTGCTCATCAGGAAACCCTGCTTCCAGTGGGTGTCAGGACCTGCAGGGCCGGTAGTGAAGGCCACTTCGCCAGGCCTGGTGACACTGGTCTCGCCGGCCTTAACCTGCAGATCCGCCGGGATCGAGTCGCTTCGAGAAGTCGTAAAGAAGATGTCGAACCAGGTCAAAAAGCCGTCAAGTGACGGAATGTCTTTGGTCAACTTCGATTTCCACTGAGTCTCGAAGTCAAGGTCCTCGATCTTGACGGTGTGCAGGTCAATGTATGAGATCTGCGAGGGGGTGCCGCAGATGCAATCCTCTGGCATGAGCTCGATGCGAGCCTCGTCGTAGATGCCCTCCTTCATGGACTTCATGTCAAAGCCGTAGACGTCGTCCCAGAAGGTAACGAAGTCGGTGATGTACTCAGGATCCGAGACGGGTGCCACCCAGATGGTGGAGATGCTCGGGGCGATGAGGCCGTCGGGCTTGAGGAAACGGTCTCTGGCGACCAGAACGCTGTTCATCATGGCTTCGTAAAGCAGGCAGTAGCCCATCCATTCACTGATGATGATGTCGACTTGATCGACAGGAAGACTGATATCCTCGACCCTGCCCCTAATGCAGATAACCTTGTCAGTGAGACCGTTGTTGAAGACGTTCTCGCGGGCCTTGTCGATGATATCAGACTTGTCAACGGCAAAGACCTGCTTCGCACCGGCCTTGGCGCAGAACATGCTCAGAATACCTATTGTAGAGATCACGTTTTAGATATCAAGGTCCACAAAGCTGGCAGTGGCTTCTGGTGTGAGACATACCGGTACCACAGCCAATGTCGAGCACGATCTTGTCCTTGAACAGAGACTTGTTGTTGTAGACGAAATCACGGTAAGAGTCTGTTCGAACCTTGTCCTTCAGCATCGTCTCGTGAATATCTAGAAGGGACGTTAGCAAACTAAGCAGCCGGAACTCCAGGTTGTGCGTCTCTTACCGTTAGAGGCATATGACTCCCAGTAGTACTGAGACTCGTCCTTCCGGACACCCTTGTCGTCCAGATCACGCGGCTTCTCGCTCCGGGTTGCAACGGGCGTGTCTTCTCCCCAGCGCTGGTCAAGAGTCTGCTCAACGGCATTGCGGTAATTTGCGAATTGGGATTGAAGCTTTGCCAACTCTTCTTCGAGCTGAGCTTCCCGAGAAGCACCCCCTTGTGGTGCTTGCTGAGGATGCTCTGGCGACTCATCGTCAAGATCCAGTTCGGTAAGAGCCATGATCAATGCATCGTCTTCAATGACGGGCTTCATGTAGCGCTCGTCAGCAATGTCGTCGACGGTGATAGTCTCGGGCAGAGCAGCGCCATCGTGGATACGTTGGCGAACTATGGATGAGTCAGTAAGCCCTCAATCTGTAGCAGGGAAATGGATTGCTGCTTCGATGTAAAGCATCCACACTATGTCTCAGGCCCCAGACTTACCAAAGTTGACAAGCTTGACGGTTCCAAAGAAGTCAAGGCCAAGCCGACGGCGGATGGCAAGGAAGTCAAAGTTGTGCTTCGTGCGGCAGTGAGACAACATGGCATCGACGTCAGGAAAGACGGTATCGTCGAGCAAGGAAATGAAGGATTGAGCCTCCTCCTCTTCGGGCTCCGCGTCATCCCAGTCAGACTCATCAGACGAGACATCGGAATCGGCGCGAGCACCATTCTTAAGATCGTCCTGGGTCATTTTTGGTGACTGAGTCGAAATTTGCTTCTATGTCTTTTTTTCTTCCTTGCTTGGTGTCTAGTCGACTTGAAGTGATTCGTGCTTTTCTGACAAACAAACCAATTGTAGGGGGTAGAATTATTTGTGACGGTGTGTTGTCTTCAGGTCTTCTTGGTGAGAATACCTTGCCTGAGCTGATATCACCTTGGAGTCAAATGAGAGATGGAGTGAAGGATTGGATATTTTCCTCCTTCTCTAAGCTTGTGGGACTGTGCCGGGGCCCAAAAAAAATAATTTGGAACCTTGGAAGGGGCCGGCAGGCACGCCGGCCGGTACCTACTCAAACCGCCGTCCAATAAAGCTGCGTGGACTTCCTTCCTTCCATGGTTGCCTCAGCTACCCTAAGGTATACGGAGTACCTTCGTTGACATTGGAAGGTTACCCTTGATAGGTAGGTTAAGTTAAGGTGGTACCTTAGCAAAAGGAAAAATATACCGGGCTAGATCCCGCCTTTGCACACCTTTTTTTTTCATCCTGTTTTCTTTTTCAAAAACACTTTTTCAATTGCATCTGTATGTACTTCACACTACTTTCTTGATAGGAATTTGATAAATTATTTTGTTTACTTTTTTCTGCCCCTCTCTGACTTTCAGCTACCCCTCCACCCCTCTACCCCTCCATTACCCCTCACATCCTACTTTTTAATCTGAAGGTCAAACATGGCACAGAATAATATCACAGTGGCCAAGTTGGCTTCATTAAATCACTGGCAAGACGCAGAATGGAAATCAAAGAACTAAAGGGAGGGGGAACCCTTAGATAAAAAAATTCCACGCTATCGGATTATTAGATCATGTATATGCCTGAGACAGAAATCAATAAATCGTGCGTCTTCCTACCACTCGTCATGACGACCAACCAAGAGATGGAACTTCTCGCTTTGCCATTTTGTGCATGTCGTGCCGTTCACCAGGATTCTCTTGAATGCCTCCGTCCCTCGCTCGGCGTCCCCCATTCCTGTTCCTCATCTCGAACCTTTTTGCCTCGGACACCTTATACATCTTGGCCTTGCAAACGTCATCTCGTGCCTATGCTTCTAGTAATGAGGGACACCAATGCTTTGCAAAATGAGATTCACGATGCTCAGAAATCCTTCACCGAGTATGAAGCCCTAGAACACAGCTTGCGTCAGCTACCATTTCTGGTCGCGTGTGGACACCTTCAAGTACTCACTGATGCCAGCACAATCAATGGCGTGCTCGACTCGCCTCGCCTAGAGACCCAGTACCAGCTTAGCAGGCCGCCAACAGTTCTAGCCAGGGTGAATGATGGGACGTTGTACATTCCTATCGCCTCTGGGTCAGCCTTGCCCCTGTTCTCGATCAGGGGAGATCAATATTTCCAAGTGACACATACCGACCGCCACGGCAATACCTCCCGGCACAAGGGAACGCCAAGCCTTGCCCGTTACCAAGGTCCTGGCAATAGTCGTGAAAGCAAATATGATGCCAAAGCCGATTGCCCACTCGCGCGCCATGGGCGGTAAGCCCTTGCCCGTCACCAGCCTGGCTGTGAAGATCCATACGTATCCCGTTGGAACCTGGAAGAGATCTCCCGGAATCGTGTACACTCTGAACAAGGTCGATCAGTCTCTGGACAATAACTAGGGTTGGCATCGTAACCTACGCCGTGTAGAGCTGGTACACAAAGGCACTGACCACAGCACCCGCTGTTGCTCCAATCACTTGGCCCCAGAATTGGGCTTTGGGCGCGGCTCCTAAAAGATGGCCTGTCTTGAGATCCTGCATCAAATCACCCGCTTGAAGAGCTCCCTAGGTTCGGCAAGTCAGCATCCATTCCAGTCAAGTTAGTAACGTAGCACAAAGTTACATACGGCCTCGGACTAGGAAATTCAATTAGCGATTGCCCAATTACCAAAGTTGGAGGTTACTTGAGCACTTACCACTGCACCCGCAACTAAGTTTATAAGCACACTGGACTTGTGTGACTGGGGAATGATTAGGGCGAAGAATAGCTGCGCAAGCTTGCTGATGCCGGATACGGGGTTCAAGTCCGTCTCACCCAGTGCTCGAACACCCATAATGCTGAGTAGGAGAGCCATCAGCACGGCAACAATAGTGGCGTAGAGAGGAACCAGGTCGCCGAAGACGATGTGGACAGTGGTGATGCAGAGGAGAATGGATAGAACCAGCCCCACGGCAACAAGCTTGTTGTCGATTTGCTGGTCTTCCGGTGCGTCTACTTCGTCGGCACGAGTATCGCTTACACTCGATGTCGAAAACCCACGACGAACCACAGAGGATCGCGACTCATCAGACAAGAGCCGGGAGGTACTTGTGACCTCTCCATCCTCATCTGTGTTCAGAGCAGTATACGTCCGGGTGGAATGACGGCTGGATCCAAAAATCTTCTGCCAGCCTAGCACAATTTGCTGCCATATGCCCTTCATACCTTCATTGGCGACATGCTGGGCCAAGGGACGGAAAGCAATGTAACTGAGGCTGACAATGGCATCGGCAAGCATAATAGCTAGGGAGACCCAAACAATCCAGCCCTTGCTGCCCGTTTCCCAGTCGTCGATGGAACCGGGTGCCCAACCCCGATACTTGGCAAGCGGAGAGAGGACACCCCATCCTATCGCAGCACCTAGCAGCATGTGCAAAGTCGTCTCAGGGCCCATGATGATGCCCTGGCCAATGTAGGCCGGGCTCGGGTTCAGCGTCCAAAGCCAAATGCCTGCGGCATTGGTACCAAATATGGGAATGCTTCGCAATGCAGGCAAAAAGTAGGACGACAAAGTGTACAAGCCCGAGACCCCAAAGCATATCAGCAGTAGCCTCACATTCTGAGCCCAGTCGTCCTGGGAGCCACTCTCGGGCATCTCGGAATTGGCATTCTCGGGATCCGTAATGTTGTGGTTACGGCTAGACTCCAGTGTCAAATCCGGCTTCGAATCTTGATCCGGTACGAGACTCGCGAAGCCGCCCGATACGGCGTCAGGACCGGCCTTCCGCGTCTGGCCATGGAGGACCCCGATGAGAACAGCAGTACTAAATCCGCTAGGGAAACGAAGCCTTTCTCGGATGATGACTTGTCGCCGACTGGTATTGGAGGTTAGACTGAAGCTTGGTGAGCAAGTTTTCTGCGGCCAACTCACAGAGGGACAGCAAAGACGACACCAAAATAACAAAGACCGAGAGACCATATGATCAACTTCCACAAGGGGATATTGAGAGGTCCCTGTTCCTCGGGAGCCAAGAGATAGTTCATGGCGGGAATCTAAAAAAGAATAAGTTACGTGTCACCTATGGGCCTCGTCTGTTTCATCGCATCAAGTTGCGGAGAGAAGTAACAATGCCTGGGATACGGGAGACATACCACACCGACAAATCCGCAGCCAAGTGGCATGATGGCCATACTTCCAGCCACGGTCTGCACGAGAACATTCTCAACAGGACTGAATGGAAGGCGCAGGTGCCTAGACATGGCCTTGAATATACCGAAACCCATCAAGCTAGCCGGCATGGTCATGGTGCTCACCCAACCCGTCTGTAGGCCAAAATACATGTTGGAGAAGCAAATGACCAAGCCGACCAGCAGGCCCACGGCAACACCGCGAAAGGTGAAGCTGCGGCCGTGGATGACAGGCCCTGGCTCGGGAGCATTCTCGGGGTAAGAATCATGCGTGATTGGGGTGTGGTTACTGCTGCTAACAGTATCGTGAGCGCCGTCATCGACATCGTCGCGATATCCCCGATCAGGCGCCATGGTCAATGTCGTAAACCCTTGCTGGGCAGTGCTGCAACGCGAGAAGGTCGACCAGAGTGTCCAGAAGCGAGTATTAGAAGGCGTTTTACAACCTCGCTACTATGCGCGTCAAAAGCGTGCTGACCAACCTGGCGTTTGTATCGCTACTGGTCCGGCGGATGTGTGCATGGGAATGCCTGTAAAGGACTAGAGCCGCAGGCCGTGCAATATTGACCAAGGGTGAGGATGAACTCGAAGGTGGCGTTGGTTGTTGTTCCAACTTTCTTTCGCTCACCCGGAGGTAGAAAGGGAACTTCGCGCGCAATGAGACAACAGAGAGGCTGGTGATCAATTACATAAGGCAGCAAGCATACGAATACAGGCGACGCTCCCCCTCACCGCTGCATGAAGTCGAGATATGGGATCCGTAATTGAATCCTTATCTTCCAGTTCCCCCTGCACGAAGAAGAGCTACCTAATGACAATGTTTCCATTCACATCGGATCGGGGGCCGCGCGACTCGCCCTTGCAGCCAGTGGACATCAAACAGCCAGCCAGCAAAAGGCACTAAACCAGTCCCGGTGCCGATCCGGACGGAGTTCGGCAACAATTGGAAATGACGTGCTCGGACTGGATAAACCAAGTGATGCTGCTTAGTAAGCAATCACTTGTTCTCTGAGAGCATCGCCAAGTCCTCATTTTCAAAGTGTGAATCTTAACACCTCTGACGTCTTGAGGCGAACATCTCCCGTCGCATACATTCATATATAACGAGATAATGGTGGTGTATTGTACATCCTGTCTTATTGTTTTCAAGAAGGAGGTGGCCCCCCTTTGTGCTTTTGAATTCAGAACCCAAAACTGTCAAGCAGCGAGCTTGAGTTCGGTTCCTGGAAAACGGTTGGAGTTGACTGTTTTCCCTGCCCGCTTGATCTCATCTCGGAATGAAGCTTTGACACCGGCAGATCTGCAACTACAAGCGAGCTGCGTCGGCGCAGTAGCTTCAGCGGGTTGACCTCACCGCCCAATCCATTCGTGACAGGCGGGGCCGGCTTCAGAAACTCCCAGTTGCGGACTGTTGTCATGTTAACTTCATTAAATCGTACGCACACCATTGCGGGGGAAATACCTAGGTCTAGTCCGAGAAGATCGCAACCCATTCGGTCATAGAGCTTGGCACTATGGAGGACGAATTCCCATTCGACGCGTGGTGTAACCTTCGAGGCTCCGCGAAGAGTCTGGAGTGTTTTCTGCCGTAGCTGTGAGTACAACACCACCAACGCCGGGTCGTCCGTGAGGAACAATTTCGATTGCATGTTTGGAGAGCACGGCGTCTCAACCAGGGTGTAAACCGGCGACTACAACACCAAGCATGCGTTAGGTAACAGTAGAAAACCGCAGGTTATTCGAGAGCCGTGTAGCAAGACTTACAATCAGGGCCCGGACCGCCATATCCTTACGATTCAGCATCCAGAAGGCCCAGGATGCCAGCCAGCGGTTGCCCTCCTTGGCGGCCACAGCTAGTACCTCTTCTTCCAAAAGCCTCTTTAGCACCAGGCCTTGGTCTCCTTCGTAGACACGCGCGATCGCCACTGCAAGCTGAAGATCCTTGAGTTGATTCAAACAGACGTTAACAGCATCTTGCAAGTGATCCGCAAGTAAGAAAAACGCTGCGGCGTATTCTGTGTGCCCGCATGTTAGCCCTCGAAATTCACTGTTACACTTCACGACTCACCAAAGCGTCGCTTGCTTAGCAGCGCGTAAGCGTTCTTCAACGCCGTTGTCCTCCATTTCGGGTCTTCAAAGTTGTTGGACAGCAACTTCTGCGTTGCCTTCTGCTCTCTATTCCAGTGAGCCATTCGCCAGAGTCCCTGAAGGACTGTCTTTTTCTTGAGAGCCAGGTAGTAAATGCTACAGTCGACTGGATTCTTCATCTCGCTCTTGGTGTACTCATTACGCGCAACGATTTCGAATTGTGCAAGCTACACTCATCGTTAGCTTATACATACTGCTCGACGGTGCAAATAGGGCTTGTGTACCAAGGCGTTCCGATCGGTGAGCCACATGAACATGCCGCTCTCCCGCGCATCTTCCCAGCGTAGTGCACCGTGGCATTGTTTGGAGACGAAATCAGTAAGAATATCCTGGCTGGTTGAGTGGTAGGCCCAGTTGATCTCTCGCCAGGACATCTGGATTTCACTTGTCCGGCCCTTGCGAAGCCCGTGCTGGCGGAAGAAGAGCATGAACCGCGCGCCATTCTCGTCCAGAGATCTGCGCTGTTTCTCGACAAGCCCAACGCATTCAACGATATCGGCCAGCTGTATTTGCTCATGACCTGACAGCTGTTGGAGGCCAACTTTGGTGAGACGCTCATTAATAGCAAGTGCAGTTTCTTCGCTGAAGGGCTCCTCTAACTCGTCTGTCTCGTCGGCAGATACTTGTAGGCTGAAGTGAGACCCTACCTGGGACCCAGATGCTTGCATCGGCGAGGCCTAGTAACTAAGTTAGCCTCCGTTCCGCCTTTGGTCCAAGTGACAGTCAATGTAATGACCAAACGCCTTACCCCAGATGAGTAGAAAACCGCTGGTTCGAGTCCCAGGTAGTCATCGACCGTCTCACCTGCAATGAGGAACTTGAGAGTTTTGTGCAGTGACATGACAATCGTTCGGACTATGGTGCTCTTCCCTGCAAGGATACATTGGCTCAAGAACTGAGGGTGGAAAACCGGCAAAGGGCCATTGAACCTCTGAACGGCGTCAAAAAGATCCCAGACGCCGTTCTTCCGGTGCGGCAGCTGCAGGCTGTTGATCAAAGAGCCGGATAGATCATACTCCCTCCCATGGACGAACATTTGGTTACCTGAACCGATGACGAGATGTCCATCGCCCAGCCAGGTCGAATCTCCTATTGGGTGAGGAGTGAATTCGCGAATACTGATCTCCCGAACTGCTGCCCAGGCCGGACCCTTGTTCAAGTAATCAAATCGCATCTGGCAGAGCAGGACTACTTTCGACTGGAAGCCAACGGCGAGGATAGACTGTGAATCTGGCGTCGAGGTCCAGTCGAGGTCTTGGATTGTGTTGTGTCTTCCATAGTCCTGCGTAAACTCAAGTCGAGCGCCACCGATATCCCAAATAAACAGCTGAGACCTTGCGGAATCAACAATTGCAGCTTTTTTAAGAGTGCTGCCACTGACAAGAGCCGGCTCAACAAGGCCTGTCTCTGCTGAGGAGGTCGAGAGCCATCCGACACTTTTGCCCGTGTTACCGACCCTCGCTGTCCAGAAGTCTACCCGACCTGCGTGGGTATACGACACGGCAATGTCCCTGGCAAACACATCGAGAAAGCCAGACGTGGCGGGCGTAGATCCCGCCGGGTCGACGGGGAGCATATATGCGATCCCTTCGGCGTCTTTCAGTTTGAATCTGCAAAACTCGCTGATCGAGGTCTCCTCTTGGCCATTAGCATGTCCATCGGCACCTTGACTGGAGTATCGAGGTAAGTTGACTTCCCAAACAAGCCCTTCCTCCTCGGATGTGACAGTTGCAATGTGAGCAACGGCATACTCCTCGACTCGATGCCGAGGCAGAATCAACAAGCACAATGGTTTGCCTGAGATCTCGTACGATTGACTCGCGAGTAGTATTGCTTTCTGGTGCCGACAATCCCACAGAGATATTTTCTTGTGCTCCAGGAATATGACAAAACGGCCTTTGCGCAACACACATATTCGATGGATATGAGCGTTTCCCTGGATGACACTCTGGCGTGACAAACTGGTCTGACTGGTTTCGGAATGCGTCCAGACAATGCTTTCGCCTCCCTCGGTTCGAGATACAACAGCTCGACCACTGAAATTTCGAACCATTTTCTGAATAGGCGCTGAATGGCCGGCCCAGATACAGCGCCGAGCAAGACGGCTTGACTTGTTCTTTGAGCCTAGGAAATCTACCAAGTCGGCGTCGTAAACTTGGATCTGACCGTCAAAGTCGTGAACAAGTACATGCAGTCGCCCGGTGGCTCGGTCGCAATAGCTCTGTATGTTGACATACTGATCAGACCTGAAATTCAGCGCGTGTGACCTAAAGCTTGTCACTTTGATAGCAGCCTGTGACTTTCTCGTTTTGGAGCCCACGTCCTCGAAAGCAAATACCATCATGTTTCCAGTGGCGTCAGAGGCAACACAGAGCTCGGCGCTATTGTTGGCAAGGGAAATGAGACTTTCGAGAGCGGCATCTCGTGGTTCTTCCTTCACAGAACACCGCTGGACGGCCAGTTCTGTAGCAGCAGACACCTCTCTTCCATCAATGACGAAGGTGACGAGCGGTGCTGTAGGCGTGGTGGAACCAAGATTAGGATTTCGGAAGGATGAAGCCAAGTCGACGGACCCCCAGAGGTTCATGTGTCGAAAGGCATGCGTATCAGTGCCGGTCCATACTCGGACAATATTATCGGCGCACGTTGTAAAAAGAACGTTTTCAACAGTTTGATCGGTATGCAGCGGTTTCCGCCAACGCAGGCTCGTTACTAGGTCTGGGTGGCGTAGGTAGGCCAGGTCGAAGCGCACATCTTCAGCACCATATGTCAAGCGGCGCCAGACTTTGACGAGACAATCGTGCGCGCCTACGCATGCTATGTATGCTGAATCATACGATATCTCTGCCAGTTTCACAGAATTCGGAAGAGGTTTATTCCATAGCTGTTCCGGCTCGTTGACGGTTGAGTATAAGTATAGAGCAGAGTGGGCAACTAGGAGCTCCTCGTTGCCGCCCCAGCTTAGAGAAATCCCCTTGGCAGCATTTTGATGGTCGGGCACTGGGTACGATGATTGCAGACCCCACTGATACATAGGAATGTCGTCAGCTTTTGTTCGTAAACTAGTATGGGCGACAGGTGCGGAATGGGTGACAGAAGGGGAGATGGACTCCAGGGGCGAAGGCAGTGTCGCGTTGGTATAGAGAACGAACTCACCTTCAGCGCATTTTCGGTCTGCCCAAAAGGTTTATACACTCTAATGACGGATTCGGTGCAGGTCGCAACCTTGCCAGAGGATTCGTCGAAGGCCACGGCCTGCAAGTGGCTCGGATCATCGTCGTATACTGTCTGAAGGATGGTGTCGGCATCACCAAGGATAGTGAACGCGCTGCCGGTTATGTAGACCTGAATGGACCAAAAGTCAGCACCGTGGCAGCAATGATGATGTGAGGGCATCGGAGTGTGGTCAAGTTGCTCACATTGAAGTGCCTCGAGTCCCAGAAGCCCGTCGCAAGAGCTTGAAGCCCAGACCTCGGCCTACCTGGGAGGACTGCTCTCATCCTACTAACAAGAAAGCCACAGCAGCATTGCTTAGGCGGACGTATTGCCGGGTCTCCTTGGTCGATCGCTGTCGAGTATCGCGGGTCGGGCTTTGGTGAGGAATTGAGACGTGGGAGGTCTTTCCAAAGGCTCCTCGTGTGATTTGAGGTGCGAGTTGAGCTCTGTCATAGACCGAGTTCGATCAATGCGAGTGTTCTGAGGAGCTTAAACTTGGACCATGCTAAGGTACCTCAGGTAAGGTACCCAGGCGTGCCGGGTAGGTTACGAATCCGTACTAACACCGTAGGTATGCGCGCTGCGCACTGCAGCAAGTGTCCCGTCGCAGCGTGGCGGCGTCGCCAGGTTCATGGACCCCCCTAAGGTGACTAGGGGTGCGGAGTCGGTACGTCCCGGTCGCATCTGTAGGCATTTGAAGGTACCTTAAGGTATCCGTAAGGTAGGTACTCCGCAAGGAAAGCCAACGACCTAACTGATAAGATAAAGCACCCTAGCAAGTGCCTGCCTACCTAGGTAGATAAGGTAATTACCTACCAAGACAAAATAGGATGCCGGTCAGCGCAGGACTAGCTGTCTGCTTATTACCACTACCATTACTATAAGCACTTTCCTACGCCTTCCAAAGGGCTATTCATACGGTATATATAGAGAATAGAAGAATAACAGCAATAGCAATAATCGGAATAATATCAGTGATCGTACCTTGATTATGTAAACAGGAGAAATAGAGGGAAATGGGCGGCAAGTCGCCCTCTTGCCTACTTTTCTAGGCACCTTTGACACGAATACATCACCTTACTTTAAGCTGATGATGTTGCGCATCTGTTGCACCAAGTAATTACTCCAAGAACAAACACTAGTTTACAGCTCTTGCCAAAAGGCTTTCTTTGTCATACAAAACTACCTAGTCTGGGTATACTGGGTAAAGGTTTCCAAACACATGAATAATATCCACATGACCATAGCATATCACCTGTTCTCATCAAGGGTCATCTTGCACCTCCGCCCAAGTCCCATCAACCACCTCTGCCAACATCCGCTGTATTCTCCTTAGCTCCTCGCCGTGTCCCGGCTACAGAGAGCCTTTGCGCCTGTGCGAAGGAGAGGCTGCTCATTTGGCCAGTCGCAGCTGCAGGCACGCTTCGGTTGTACCGTTCTCGGAGCTCTCGTTCGAATGGCGTTGGGAGGGGAGCAAAAGGTGTCATGGACGGAAGCCTCACAGAAGAAGCCATACCCGTCCACCGGGTCGGCGTATCCGCCACAACTCCATCAGCATCGGGTCCTGACCCGGTTCCGTCGTGATCATCGTCGTCGGCCGTTGGCTCAACTTCTTGGATCCTGGAACCCCTAAGACTTGGTCCACTAGGTCGTTCGTGAACTGCTCTCGAGAGTGGCAGCGAGGTGCGACCGGCCACGAAGCCAGCTCCTCTCCTTGAGCTGCCGAGACTAGCTCTGAGTGTCGTTGACTGGTGAGATATGTTCAAATTCCTGTCCCCCTTCCAATGTAGCAGAAGACGTCGTACAGCCTTCTTGCTGTTCCTCTCCCTAACGTCCAATGCCACGTATTCTCGGCTCTTCAATTGCAGTAAGGATGATTGCCACTGGCTCCACCAGCGTGACTTCAGGTTCACTGACCAAGCCTGGTTGACGCGGTCCTCTTTGACTGCGAGATCTTGGGACATGCCGTGCCATTCGTCCACCCATGCAGCAGTCAAAAGTTTACCCGTGCCCCAGTCGCGGCTACTCTCGTCTCGCCACAATTTCAACATGTGAACAAGACGATCATGTTCCACCACAATGTGGTGCTGGTCTGCTTTCCAGCCCAAGTTTCCGTGGGTACGAGTAGCTGTCTTCCACAGATTGAGATAGCCCTTCGTGAAGGTAGCCTTGACGTGCTGCCTGCATCGGGCGTAAGATTTTCGAGTCCCTGACCTCCAAGCCGATCTGGATCGCCATGTCTTGAGTGTATGTGTGGCACTAATGTAGAAACAACCGCGCTGCACCCACTTCTGGAGGTCTATTTTCTCACCGACGTCGATATGCCACATTTCCAATGCCTTTTGCGCTCCTTGATGCGCTGCAAACCGACGCGATCTCGTGCTCGTCTTGGCGACTATTGAAGCTTGTCGTTGCCAATTGCCAAGAACTTTGGTCTTCAGCAGGCGATCTGATATGGCCATAAGGGAACTCGCACCTCGCCGCGGTCTAGGCAAGGCAATGCCAGACACATAATCTACAGCAATCCCGCGGCTAAAGGCGTTGCTCTGCCCAAATGTCGGTGGCGCTCTACACGCGCTTTGCCACCTTGACAAGCAGCTGCGAACGAGCTTGATTTCCATCTTGGACTTGAAAACCTCCACCCTTGAGTCAAGATGCCACTGGTATAGGGGGCCCTGGACGGCATGGTATCTGCGGAATGCCGCAACATCTCTCAGGTGAGACGTTGCCTGGTAGGACCATGTCTTCAACACCCGAAATCTCCCATATTCTTCATACAAATCCTCCATGTGTGACCCTAGGCCTTGTAAAGATGAACAAGCCGAATACCATTGTCGCAAATAGATGGACACAGTGCGCGGCGGATGATGAGGTTCCGTCGGGGTTAGGCAGGAGGTCGACCATTGTTTGAGGGCGTTCTGGACCGTATTCCGTTGGGCGTGGACTAAGGCGGCATCTTCTGTAGCTAAGTCATCACCGGCGCGCCTGAGCCATGAGGCCATCAGACGGGAAGTAAACACGCGACGACCCCGGATCCTAGTTTCGGCCGTCACCAGTTCCCACGGGTCAAAGTGACGCATCCGCAAGATGTGTCTCCTGGCTACGGCCATTCGTTCGAGCTTGTCGAGAGCGTGTTGTTTCCAGTGTGACAATCCTCTGAGGAGCAATAAGTACCCCTTCACCTTGGTCGATTTCCATTCCAATAGCGCGTATCTTGCTTCATCGTCAGGGTCTTCATTGATTCCGTCGTCAACCACTCGCTCTGCTTCAGCACCTTCAATCCTGCCTTTAGAGAGTTCTTCGACTAGTTGCTGTTGCCTGTGTGATTGATGAGCGGCAATCCCCTGGACTGTAGATTCATGCACAACAGGCACATGTACTGGAGGCTCCTGAGCACTGAGCTCGTGCTCACCAGAATCGTGTGTCTCAGTACCATGGGCAACATGGTCTTCCGTGACCTCAGAAACCCTGGTTCCATTTCGAACTGGTTCTGGGGCAGTGGCACCGGCACTGGTGCCCGCGCTGATGCTGGTAGTATCAGGCGGAAGCAGCCAATTCACCTTTCGTACGGGTTTTGTCCGTATGGGTAGAGCGGTCGCCTCAGTCTCATTCACAGGGTGAATATGGGACGCCTCGATGGGCTGAACCGTGGTGTCGCTGGCGCCACGTTGCACAATGGTGCCAGATATGGACTGCCGGCTTTGGCGGCTTTGTTCTGTGTTTCCAGCCGTTGAGGGTGTATAGCTGTGGTATGGCGGTTTGGTATGGTTGATAGACTTCAGATCTAAGTGGTTTGATACCAGGCCAATGCGCGTCAGCCTTGGGGGAGATTCATCATCGTCCAAGTGGTGTGGTGCTTGCGCTTGCGAATGTTGGAGAGGCGCGTATTGGTCTCGCGGTGCAAGCTCGACCTCGTTGGAAGACTCGTCTTCGGACGTGTCAGAGTTCCGGTCGGTGTCCGTAGGCGCAGGCTGTGGCAAAGAAGCCTCTTCATATTCGGCTCCGTCTTCGTTTTCGTCGCCGTCACCGTTGTCTGATAGTACCCTGGACCCGTCGCTTCCGAATTCAAGGCCAATGCCCATTCTTGACAAGACGGCGTGAAGCTTCTCCTGAAGTGATCCTTCGCCGCGTTCGCCGCCGACGCGGAATACGAGGCGCGAGATGTGGTTTTCCTCTTCCGGATCAATGCCGAAGACCGGGAGTACGGCGTCATAGGCCTGGAATAAGGCATTTGTTGCCAGTCGCTCTCCCTCGGGAAGGAGTTCGAGGTTCTGTTGGGCTGCCGTGACGACATGGTGTAGTATGGCGATTTCTGGTAAAAGTCATCAGACGAGTGCACTTCGCGATCGTAGGGATGGTGGGTGTAGGCGATGATGCTGTGCAGGCGCACTTGGAGCTGCACTTACCGTGGTCGCTGTAATAGGAATCCGAGCTTTGGACAGACACAAAGCTAGATATGCCGTCACGGGGGGCCAGCACTGGGCGATGCGGCAGCGACGGCATGTGAACTGGCGCCAGGCTGGGAGCATAATAGAATGGCCGTGGAAGAGTTTGTGGCGGTGGTGGTGGTAGTAGATGATGACAGTGGTAGCGATAGTCGAGGACGATTGAAGCTTGCCTTCGTAATGCTAAGGAGCCAGATTTGTTTCCGGTGATGGTGTACGGTTGGGCAAGAATGCTGGATACATTTGATCGCGACAAAATGTACTGTTGACAGCGGATATCGGAGGGGATTGAAAGAGCTTCACGTTTTGCAGCGGTGATTGCTTAGGTAGCGGGTGTCTAGTCGCGTCGCAAGAGTCGCAAATCGGAATGATGGCGATAAGTAGGTCGTGGCGCTGCCATGTCCACCGCGCGCTGCGGGTCAGGCGCGAAGGAGGCTAAGGTACGAGGTAGCAATTGGCTGGCGAAGGCGACGATGGATGATTCCCAAAATCGAAGTTGACGGGAACAAGGCCGGGTGTCACAATAGGTAGGTAAGGTATATTGTGAACCGTCAGCTGCTTCTTCCAGTTGCAGCAGTCTTGACCAGACACATATGTTTGCAAGTATCAGCAGGTGGTCAAGCCATGGCCACTCCCAACCCCGTCTTTATTTTCTCTTCCTATTCTTTTCTCTCTTCCCGTCTGTTTATTTCGCGTCCTATGGCGGAGCAGTGCGCCGACCAAGGTAGCCGCTGTGGGTACGTTATTGTTGGCTGGGCTGCCATTGATCCTGGTGTCGCGACGCATTGCCGATAGGTCAGTTTGCTCGAACTCGTCCATGGTGTGCCACTGGAGCCCAGAGCTTGTGCCCTGTGCTGCTCCTGTCCCCCGCCACAGCTGATTAGATTTGTGCTCCGTAAGGTACCCTGGGCAAGGTACCTCACCTTAACTTTACCTATCTGTTACCTTAGGCATTGGCACTCTATCTCAAGGTAAGGTAGCTTATGTAGATAACCGAGCCTCCTTGGCTTGAATACATACCTCTTATTCAATGAGCAAACACATTAAGAACGCATTGCTCCAATGGAGGCAACTGGAGTAGGAAGGCCAGTACCTAAGGTAGCACACCCACCACCATCTAAGAATCCTTACCTCGACGATTGTCAGTGTTTGATGAGTAAGGTAGCTTTGGCCGCCATTGTGACGACGAAATTCAATTAGTTGCGCAACAATCACATCTTGCATTGTGCTTCTACCTCCCTTTACCCGAGGCCCATCTCAAGCAGCTGCCATGGTTCGCACACGGCCCATCCAGAAGTTTGCAGCCGCAGTTGGCCAATGTACAGCAGAGGTCAGTCATTCAGTCGTGGCACTCGGTCTAGCTACGGCAATTTCACACCGCGAAAACGTACTGACCAAGTTCTAGACCTCCATGTACGGCAAATGCATCCTTGCCGACTACAACTCTGTCCACAAGGATAAGTGTTTGAAGGAGTTTCTCAGACTGAAGGATTGCTATCTTGTATATCTCACCACTATGCCCCTTCCTACCTCTGCCTTTACCGAGTCTACTACGTCACTAACGCTCGAGTTTTCCATCAAAAGGTCGCTGCCCGCAAGGCAAAATAATCATGGAAGAAGCATAATATACCAATATCTTAATCTCTCGAATCTTGTTGTGATGAATTCACTTTTTTTCTTTTGACTTCCTAGTCTTCGTCACTTTCATCTACTCATGCACCAGTAATATAAGCTACCTAAGGTAGAGCTGCACTCACTGCAGACCTATCATCTAAAGCTCGAGCAGGCGGAGCAAGAACGTCGCATGCTGCACTTCTTGCTCCTCTTCTGCAATCACTCCCTTCTCCTCTCCGCTCGGCACCTCGCCTTCCACCTTGGTAACTTCGTGCTTGTCCACCGGTCTACGGAGTGCCTTCTCAATGACCTTGGTCTGTGAGACAAACACTTCTTCGAGGCCAATGTTGTCAGGGTCGCTAATGACCTTGTATTCCATCTTGATGTCATCCGTCGGCTGCAGCTTGGCCTTCTTTCTGAGACGCTGTACGCGATTGATAATCTCTCTTGCAAGACCCTCGTGTGCCAGTTCCACATGAAGCTCCGCATCCAGGATGGTGAGAACGTCATTGTCCGAGTTCGTCTCCAGATTCTTCGAGGACTCATCCTCCTTCAAGCCTCTTCTCACAACAAGATCCCCTTCCTCCAGCTTGATTCCATCAACAAGAATCACCTTCTTCTCCGAGTATTCCTTGACAGCGTCGCTGCTGAGCGTCGGGAGCGCCTTCTTGACGCGCGCCATGTCCTTCTTGAGCTTCTTGCCTAGCACCGGCCAGTCGGCAGTAACGCTATACTGGACGTTGTACTTGGCCTCGTCGGATGTGAGGACCAGATCTCTGACGTTCATCTCCTCCTTGATGTATGATGAGAGGGATTCGAGATCTTCGAGATACTGGGGGTCGCGATGAATGACCACGAGCGTCTTCAACGGGGTCTTGAGACCGACCGCTCTTCTCTCGCGAGACACTCTGACCAGATCAATAACCCTCTGCATTCTGCCGACTCTGCGCTCGACAACCTCATCGAACAACTCCTGGCGCACCTCAGGGAACGGCAAGAAGTGGACACTGCGCGCGTCTTCTGCCTCGGCCTCCTTGGGGATGAAGGGGCGGAGCTTCTGGTAAATGGTGTCGGTGATGAAGGGAGTGAAGGGAGCAAGGCCGCGGCATAGCGTGAAGATGACCTCGAAGAGGGTGTTGAGCGCATGCTGGGTGTCCTCGACTCCATTCTCACCCTTGAGACGTCTTCGGTTGAGCTTGATGTACCAGTTTGTGGTGTTTTCAATAAGCCCGAGCAGACGCGGAACGACAGTGTAGAGTCGGTAGGCTGGTAGGAAAGGCGCGTTAGCGAGGCTCATGAAGAAAGGTGTAATAATCTCAACGTACCGCTCATCTCCTGGTTAACGAATTGCAGCAAGCTCTGACAACTAGCCAGGATCCACCGATCCATCACATTCTCGTTACTCGACAGGGCCTTTGGGCTCCAAGTGTAATCGATGCCCTCGACCTTCTTGAGCAGCGTCACCTGGCCTTCAAAGAATTTGTAACTGTTCCAGAGAGGTAGCAGGACCTTTTGTACGACCTCCTTGACGCCAGACTCCTTGAATCTCAGTGGTTCAGCACGCACGACAGGCGAGTTGATGAGATAGAGACGGAGGGCGTCGGAACCGTACTTGTCCATGACCAAATCAGGGACTGGGTAGTTCTTGAGGCGCTTCGACATCTTCTTTCCGTCCTCGGCCAGAACTATGCCGTTGACGACGCAGTTCTGGAACGGAATCTTACCGAAGAGATGCGTGCCGAGGACAAGCAGGGTGTAGAACCATCCTCTAGTCTGATCCAAGCCTTCGGCGATGAAGTCACCAGGGAACGACTTCTCGAACTTTTCAACGTTCTCGAAGGGATAGTGCTGGCTGGCGTATGGCATACTGCCAGATTCAAACCAGCAGTCGAACACTTCCTCGATGCGTCTCAGAGTACCCTTGCCCATTTTGCTAGGGATCGTAATATGGTCGATGCTATCTCGGTGAAGATCAGACAAGTCTCCAGTGTAACCACTCAGGTCACGCAACTCCTGCACACTGCCGATACACACTCGCTCTTCCAAGTCATCGCTGACCCATAGTGGGATAGGAGTACCCCAGTAACGGTTTCGTGAGACGTTCCAGTCACGGGCGTTCTCGATCCAGCTGGCGAACCGCCTCTCCTTGACAAAAGAGGGCACCCAATGAGAGCCTTTGATGTTATCCAGCATCTGAGGGATGATCTCGGGAATGCGGACGAACCACGAGGGGACCGCGCGGTAAATAAGAGGGGTGTCGGAACGGTAGCACATGGGATATGAGTGCTTCAGCGTGGAGTCGACCACAATCTTCCCAGTGCCCTTCAGGTGCTTGATGATGTGCTTGTCGGCCTCCTTGACGTGCATACCGGCGAAATCAGAGACGCGGCTGGTGAAGTGACCGCTATCGTCAATAGGGTCAGGAGGCGCCCTGTTCTCAGTGACAATGCCAGCTGCAACGGCGACATTGTAATCATCCTCACCGAAAGCGGGCGCCTGGTGGACGATGCCGGTACCACTGTCATCAGTAATGTAGGTGGCGTTCAGTACCCTGAAGGCAACGTCCTTGTACTCTTCGTAGAAGTAGTTGAAAGGGGGCTCGTACTTCCAGCCAAGCATGGCCTTGCCGCTGATCTTTTCAAGAATCTTGAATTTGGCCTTCTTCACATCCTTGTACAGAGTGCCAAGAAGTTTCTCGAGAAGAATGTACTTCTTGCCTGACTTCTCGTCGAGAATCTTGATGTATTCGAGATCAGGGTGTGTGGCCAGGCCGAGATGCGAAGGCAAGGTCCACGGAGTCGTCGTCCATGCCAGCAGGTGGGTCTCGGGGTCTTCGATCAGGGGGAAGGAGATGACGATCGCAGGGTCGCTGACATCCTGATAGTTCTGGTTGGCCTCGAAGTTGCTCAATGCTGTGGTCAGGGCTGTTGAGTAAGGCATGACACGATGGCCCTGGTAGACAGCGCCTTTGTCGAACAGCTGCTTGAATACCCACCATTCGGACTCCATAAAAGTAGGATCCATGGTCTTCAGGTAACGGGTGTTAGTAATTATCAGTGAGCAAGGTTAAATGGTGCGTGATCTTACCTTGTAGTCGTTGTCAAAGTCGATCCAACGGCCGAGTCTCTCTACAGTATGGCGCCACTCTTGGCTGTAGCGCATGACAATAGATCGGCATTCAGCATTGTAGTTCTTCAGTCCCAACTTCATGACAGCAGCCTTTCCAGAGATGCCCAACTTCTTATCAATCTCGTGCTCGATGGGTAGTCCATGGGTGTCCCAGCCGAAGCGCCTTTCGACGTGGAAGCCCTTCATGGACCAATATCTCGGGATAATGTCCTTGATGGTGGAGGCCAGCAAGTGGCCATAGTGAGGAAGACCGGTGGCGAAGGGAGGGCCATCGTAAAAGGTGTAAAGGGGTTTTCCCTGTGTCAACTCGAGCTGCGCGTGCGATGAATGTCAGTATGGGAACAAACAAACACGAAATGGCATCAACGCAAGCAGAGAGTGCGACTGCTGCGTCTGGAGCCAAAGGAGATACGGCTTACCTGACGCTCGAATGCTTTGATCTCACGCCATCTCTGGAGGACAGCCTCCTCCTCCTTGGGGAAGTCGATAGACATGATGTTGGGCGAAAGGCGACAGAGTCGGAGTCAAGAACCGCGTAAGGGAACGTAGCCTGGTTGCGGTTTGCGGCTCTGCCGAACCAGATATTGTCACACCAAAAACAGTAGTGGATTTGGTCGGCCGGTGTTTCGTCAAGTAGGGGAGGAGGGAGCTGCGCAGGTTCTGGAGATGAACGAAGCCAAAACCTCGAAATACGGCAAATTCGTAGGAAGACCACGAAAAAGCGTCAATGGGTCATGTGAGTCAAAACCCAAGATGCTGAGGATATGGATCTGTGAGTACGTCGGCGACTTGGGGGTTGGAGGGGTACAGTGGGAGAAGTGAGTCAGTGGGGTAATTTTTTCTCAATTGACTTATCGAGCGCGGGGCAATCGACCAAGTCATTTCAGACTCCCGGCACTCACTCACCTTCCCTTACCTTAGTCATCTCAGCATGGACACTTGGGTGAGTACTACCAATAAGGTACCACGTACCTAGGTATTCGTACGAACACTCCGCACAGAGGAACCTAGAATACTTTGAGAGTACCTACATCTCTAAGGTACCTGGGCGTGCTAAGGTAGGTAAGGAATGAGGAGGAGTGCCCAAGCACTGCTTGACTGAGGTGGTCCATTCATACACAGACCTTAGGTACCTTCTAGGTAGGTAGGTTGACCGTACGGGCGTGCTGCTAGGCCTGCCCCAAGACCGTAAGGTACCCAACGGAAGTAACCAAGGAGCCTTGCCTTACCTTAAGGCACCTAGGAGGCGGAGCAACGTGCGATCTCAGTGGAAGGTGCCCTGCAGTCCCCCAGCACCCAAGCAACCACATTCATCACAAGAGCAACGCCTCCAGTTCTCAAGTCTTTCCCGGCGGGATCGTCGTTCACCGTGTAGTAACGTAAACAAGACCCCGACCCAGACTCGGCCCAACATCCCCCATCGGCCTGTCTCCTCTCTGCCTCCCTCACTCAAATTGCGCTCTTCGCCTCGTCTCCAACAGACCACCCATCGCCGCAAAACATACAACCTCCGTCGACGAAGCCCGGCTAGGCTGTCCCACATCGAACGGCTTGAATCTCAGCCCACCGCCCCCTCGGTATCAGCTACCGACCATCGCCAGCGACCCCGTCTCAGGAGCTGCCTGTAGTCGCGATCAGCTTCTGCCTGCACGCTCATCATAATCGAGATCGGAAAAGACACCTATTTGTGGCCTTACAATCAAGTCGCCCGGCAGCCACCACGAAAGATCCATTACTTGGCCCAGCCCACCACCTTCGCCATGTCATTTCTCTTCGGCCGGGCTCGGACAAGGCCTGCCGTTGACCTACCCAAACAAGCCAGAGACCACGTAACGAAGCTCGAAGGTCCAAATGGCGCCGCCAAGGTTGGTTACACCCTTCATCTCTGCCTAGTACTTGCTCGACCTCTAACGTCCATACCTATTACAGGCCGAGGAGCTTGCAAAAGTCCTAAACCAGATGAAGTTTATCTTACAAGGAACCCATGGTACAAGTCTCACCTGCAGCCTCTCTCAAAACCTGCCGTTAACTTCAAGTCAGAGTCCGATAGTAGCCCGGAACAGATATACCAACTGGTCACTGGCTTGATTGAAGAAGACCTGCTCTACTTGCTGGCAGTGAACCTATGGCGTCTGCCCTTCGAGTCCAGAAAAGATACACAGGTTATTTTCTCCTACGTTTTCCGCTTCCGCCCGCCTACAGCGTCTCCGAAAAGCGATCCTCTAGCCCTGTCTTATGTCGTCAACAATCGCCCACAAGTCCTCCTCGAACTGTGCCGCGGCTACGAACACAAAGAGAGTGCAACGCCTGCCGGCTCTGTACTTCGAGAAGTTCTCAAGTCAGAGGCTGCTGCCGCCATCATTCTCTACGACGACAATGAGGAGTCTGGGTCCAGCAACAAGGGCATCAACTTGATTGACAGGGACCGTCGACAGAGCGGCGAGGGCGTCTTCTGGAGATTTTTTGACTGGGTCGACAAGAGCTCCTTTGAAGTAGCCGCGGACGCCTTCACCACATTCAGGGTAAACTCCCTTGCTTCCAGGGGTTAAAGGAGTTCAAAACCGCGTCGCTAACAATCACATCTTGCAGGAACTTCTCACAAAACACAAGGAGCTGGTGCCGAGATACCTCTCTGTAAACTTTGACCTATTCTTCGACAAGTACAACAACATACTTGTGCAGTCAAACAGCTATGTTACCAAGCGACAGTCCATCAAGCTTTTGGGTGAAGTCTTGCTGGACCGGTCGAATTATAGCGTCATGACAGCTTATGTTGACCGTGGAGAGCACCTCAAGATCTGCATGAATCTTTTGAGAGATGATCGCAAGATGGTGCAGTACGAGGGCTTTCATGTCTTCAAGGTCTTTGTGGCCAACCCCCATAAATCCATTGCGGTCCAAAAGATATTGCTCATGAACCGGGAAAAATTGCTTACATTCCTTTCTCACTTCTTGGAGGATAGAACTGATGACGAGCAATTCATCGACGAGAGGGAATTCTTGATCAAGCAGATCAGGAATATGCCATCGAACCCAGTGCCGCCTCAGAGACATGGCATGCCAGGCGGTGGTTAGGTCGACGCCAGGCAAACGGGTCATATTGCCTCAGGGCCTAATTGTAATGCAGTAGGCATATGACTTGCGTTACCGAGTCCTCCTCATTGAACGGGCCTACATTGCATTCGTCGTTGGGTTGTTATTAGCAGTGGGATGGAAGGGTTGGGAGATGCAACGTTGGGATCTGCATTTGCGCGGCGTTTGAGGTGGGGTTTCCAAAGACAAGGAAGACATCAGGCATTAGGTCCTTCGTGAATGTATTGCTCTTCATCGATCGACAAACGATAGCGAGAAGCGGCTTCTTCTTTCTGCTTTGATCACAGATAAAGTGTTCCATTCAATGACACTAAGCTTGCTGTACTACTGCTTGGCCATCCATGCCTGTGCCTTATCCTTGTAGTCATCACGCCACCTACTTAGGGGTGGGCGACCTTCGACGATATCCCCGACACTCCACATCATCCTCTTGCGGTCCATCTCTTCGGTTACCTCGTTGTCGGGGCAGAGAATGTGGAATAGCCCTTCCGTCATCTTCTTCTCCATATAGTCGGCCACTTCCTCCGGTGTCCAGGCAGCCGCCGGCTTCTCCCTGCCCGGGGCAGCACCTGCGAGGCCTGTGAACGTCCAGCCCGGCACTAGGAGGTGCACAGATGTGGCCGTATCTCTCAAGTCGAACGACAGGTGCTCTGCTAGGGACTTGACAGCCGCCTTGCTGGCATTGTAGGCTGGGTTTCCCGGCGGGTTTGTGATACCTTGCTTGGAGCCCGTGATGACAATGGCCGACTTGGAAGACTGTCCACTGCCGACGAGGGGTAGCAGGCTGCTGATTCCGTTGATGACGCCGTATAAGTTGGTGTCCAAGATCCTGCGGAAGCTCTCTGCTTCCAGCCATGTTGACTTGCCACCGATGCCGGCGTTGAGAACCAACAGATCGATGCGTCCTATAGTAGCAATTAGCACATATTATGTAGCAGCTCGCGAGAGACGTGGTGACGACTGAGACAGGTAAATGGAGGAAAAGGAGATCGTACCTCCAAGGGACGTATTCACTTCCGTCTTGAGCTTCTCCCAATCCTGAAGGAGGCTCACATCCAACTCGAATGTGGCGGAGGACTCCCCGAGGGTTTCCTTTGTCGCCTGAAGAAGTTTGGCATCTCGATCAACTACGAGAACCTTCATTCCATGACCGATGCACTTCTTGGCGATGGCCAACCCGATGCCAGATGCACCGCCGGTGATGACGGCCGTATTACCGGGGACAAAGATGGATGCCATTGCTTAATCTTGAGAATATTTGATGTTAACACGTTGTATGTGAAGAAGCGCAGTCAAGGTTATCCTCTCATAGCCGGCTCAGAAAGTAATTTGTAGGTCATTGATATATATCTGCTTCATGAGCACGTTGGCCACCGGACGCCGCCACGGGGCCGGTAGGTGTCGTTTGCGGGGAAACCTCCGCAGCGGATTTTAGCACTATCGCCGCCGGGCCCCTCCATTGATGTCACGCAACGGACGGCGTTCGAAGTCTAGGTAGACTTGGTCAATCTTCGTTCATCCATTCCCACTAAGGCCGGTAATCCATTACACTTTGAAAACAATACAGTATGATATCGCATACCATTACAAGCCAGCCTCAACCCTTGACGCCCCTCTTTTTCAGCCAGAGTCCATATGGGGGGAGAGAACGCCCCGCACAATTGAGAATAATCCAACACGCGCAAACCATCACGTTGCATCACCTAGACGCTTGAGGAGCTTGCTTGGCCAGCATGACGCTGACGCTTTCGCGCGCGTTGGATGTCGTCCAAACGCTATCCTTGCCGCCTCGTCGCCAGTCGTCGCCCGTGGCATCCTCGCCGCCTCCTCTTGTTGCTTCACCCATGATGATCTCAAGATCCCGCTTCTGTGAACTCATCCAATTCCTCACAAAGTTGGTGGGGTCTTGACTCATTGATGTGAAGAATGAGTGCTTCGCCTTGGAGCTCGCGACGGCTGCGATCAGCGTAGCTAGCTGTTCGTCCATGGCAACAACCTCCTTGAGGGCGCTTGCATACGCAGGAGTGGTAACAAAAGGCACCAGCTTGGCCCGCAAGGGATCATCTACCGCCACACGCACATCGTAGATGGTGGGCTGAGCGTCTCTGTGGAAATCCTCATCAACCCGTACGGTGTATGGTAAGCTGACTGGTGGCAGAGGCTGCAGATGCGGCTGGATGTAATCATTCAAGTTAGGAATGATTCCAGTATCGCTGCCGTTGACAATCTAGACAATAGGTTAGACGCCGAACATTGTTCCTGGGTTGAGGTTACAACAAACCTTTTTAAGGAGCTCATCACAACGGAAGTTGCGCTTCTCCTCGTCTTCCTGGAGACCCATCATTTTGATGTACTCCCAAATAGCGAGGACGACCTCTTGACGGGAAGCCTCAGTCATATCCACGACATCGGCCAGCTCAGGGCTGAGCAGATATCGCTCAGGATCCTCCTGGCGGTGGAAATTGATAGTGATGTTCATATTCTCGTCCCCGCTCCGCTTGAAGGTGAACTCGTCGAAGTCTGCACTTGCCGCTGCGCTTTGCGAAGCAGGCTTCTTCCACTCCACGGTCTGGTCGGATGCAGCCCTCGAGCGGGTACGGTCGAAATCAACGTTCAGCGCTTTGAAGAAATGCGAAAGCCGATGTTTCTGGCTCGCGGGTGCAGAACTTTGTCTCCTTGAACCAGCCGTGCCGTCCTCCTGTGCAGAATCCGTCTTCTGGTCAGTCTCCCCTGACGCGTCGTCCAGTCCGTCCTCGAGTAGTCGTCCCTCGATCTTGACCCTGTAAGAAGGCTCGGCGCTGGGGGTGAAGTCGAAGCTATCGACGCTGAGACCACTTCCTTGCCATGCCTGATCCTCGACGGTGTTGCTGATCCAGATGCGAAGAGTTTTGTAGTGCTGTAATGCGAGAATTAGCAATGCTGTCGCGCGGAGCCGGGAGAGGAGTCAATGGCTCCCAGTCGAGTCGCATCGCGTCTAGTGACTAACCTTTGCGTTTCGACCAACTGTCTCGACAATGTCGAGTCGCTTGCGCGTCATTGCTGCGTCCAGGCGACGCTCAAAGTCGCGCAAATCCTTGTATCTCTGAGCGACCTCGGTATCCGTGATGCATTCGTCGACACCGTCAGGCAATGTCTTGTCGGTCGGCTTTCGGCTGCGACGCTTGGCAAGCTCGCTCGTGAGGGCCTGGCCTGGAGGATGGTGCTGCGCCATGGCGGCCTGGTTCATGGCTGCTTGACCATGGTGGGCCGGAGGCATGATGGGACCTTTGGGCGGCATTGTTAGCACAACTGTCGTCGTGTCGAGCACTTTGGGACTTGTCGCGCAACAGTAGAGCAAGGGGAAAAAGGTGTCCGAGGTCTCAAAAGGCTAAGGTAAAGAAGGAACGGGCATACCGATGCCGCCTCTCCGTTGATTTGGGGCATGTGGAGCCCGCTGGGGAACCTGTGGTGCGCCAGCATGGGCGGCGTATTGGCGGTACTGGGGCTGCATCTTCGACGATGTCTTTTGATAAGATGCGCGCAAAGCAAGAAACAACCAGATTTTTTTCCCACTGAGAAACGAAAATCAAAGATGATGCTGCCAAATGTGAGAGGTCGCGTCGGTTCTCAAACGCGCGTGTGCATGAGTGAACGACGGGCGGCGAAGGCGCAGGGTCAGGCGCAAGGCAGCATCTATGCCCGTCATAATTGGCCAGCAGCTGCAGCAGCCCCTGTACTGGCCCCACATTACCTGAGTGTTGTCCGAGCCGCTCCAGCAGAAGGACATCTGGTACTAACAGCCCATACCGCACTACCATGTCAAAAACGCTCACGCAAAAAGGACAATCACAATAAGACTGTCTGTATTCATGTCGTAACAACGAATGCCTCCCGTCACCTTCCATCTCTCTTATAAGCCACAGGTATGTACCTTATACTAATACTCACTGCACTGCTGGCTTCAAATGTGGCTTTCTAGGATAACCGTCAATAAGGTCTGGGGCTGATACCGATTGGTCTACTACTTAAGTCAAATCCGCTTCCTTACGCTCACCTGCGTGAGGCAGTAATATCCATCACTCTGTTTGCGTCAAGGTCATTAGACATTGAGAAGAGCACACGCATAATGATGCTTCTCAAATCCCGTGGGTCTATTTTCTCCGAGGACCTATTAAACCCCTAAAAACCCCCAGCGAGGCAGCGAAGAACTCAATCCCCACCTTATGAATGCTTCCATCGAGTGTAAAGCTGCAAAACTTCCCTGCCAAAGGGGTCAAGTTGTCGAAGAGTGCATAGCCGATGATACGCCGCGCTCCCGAATGCTTCCTCCCGAACCATATTTCGTTGCATTACAAACTTCTAATAAGTTTCTCGCGCTCACTCTCTATCAGAGAGCCGCGATTTTCGTCTAAACCCCCACTCTCCTTAGGATTCGTGATGGCCCTATAGCTCCAGTCGTCGTAAGCCTCGTGCTAATCAGAATTGTTGGCCGAGGCCATTCTTGGACTGTCTTTTGCTAAATCGGTTTCGCTTGGTGGTCGAAGCTGCATCGTCCAGACTGGCCTGGCTTTTGCTGAGATGGTTCCGACCGGAGCGGTCGCTGACGCTGAAGCTGTCAGGGTAAACGCCCCGTCCACCCAGAGTGCTGGCCGGGCTCGACACTGTGGACGACATATCGAAACCGTTGTCGCCGGCATAAGAGCCCGAGAGATTTTGAGACAAGGCCAATTCCTTGGCTCTCTCCAGGGACTCTATCCAGTCGCTGGCCGTGGTGCCGTTCTCTGAAGAGCTAGAGCTCCCCTTAGGCTCCTCAAATGTGTAGTGGACGCCGCCCTGTCGGATTTTAGATGAGCGGCGAGACTTCTTGTCCAGGATACTTACTGCATCGACACACCATATAGTCTGCCCCTTTACGTCAAGCTGCGTCCTCCAGGTGCATTCGGGTGCAAGTAGTGAAATCTCTTGCTTGGCACGCTTCTCTTCTCCACCGGCCGGTGCCAGCAGTATGCGACCGCTCGACGTTACCATTACCAACCTCTGTCTCTTCTTAGTTGTACTTCCGCCAAAGAACCTCGATAATTTCTTGTGTCCCTCGGCGTGCTCACCGCCTTTACCGTGGCCACTCGGCAGGGGGCTCGAGACAACCATCAGGTCGCCAAGTTTGAGAATCCTCTCGTTATTCTTCGTTAAGACTGGAGACCACTCAATATCCAGCTGGGTTGGGGGAGGATGCTCTGTGATGATTCTGGCCGGCCGAGCACTGCCATTCAGGGCCGAACTTTGCGGCTGGGAGCTCCTGGGCGGTGCAGGAGGGTTCGGACTGTTGCTCACGCCATTAAGTTGAATCACAGTCGGATCCTGCGGCGTAGGGTTGTAAGGTCGAAGCCGTGGGGCTTTGGTCCTCCATAGGCCTTTGCCAAATGGCTGCCCGTCGAAGAACTCGTGGTTTTTGATGTGCTCGACAGTGAGACGACGCGCTGGGTCAAGAACCAAGCATCGCTCCACTAAATCACGTGCTGCTGGTGGAAAGCCGGTAGGAAAGTCGTACTCCAGGTTGACAATCTTCTGAAAGGTGAGATATTCCGTTGCGGCCTTGAAAGGCGGACGACCTGCTAATAGCTGGTATACTATGCATCCAAAAGCCCATAGATCGCTCGCTTTGCAGGCGTTCTTGCTGGTCAGGAGTTCGGGGCTGACATACTCGGCGGTACCCACGAATGAAGCCGCCCGATTGTCGTCTTCTGCCTCGCTGCGAGCACTCTCTGGCAATCCCCGCGCGCTTTCGCCGGCGTTCTGCGCCTCTCTCGGGTCTTTGAGTAGCTTGGCCGTGCCGAAATCTGTAATCTTCACATGCATGTGGTCGTCCAAGAGGACATTCTCTGGTTTGAGATCGCGGTGGATGACTCCTCTTGAATGCATGTAGTCGATGGCGTCCAGTATTTGGGCGCTGTAGAACCTCGTACACTCCAGATCAAAGGAGCCAGTCTTCTTCAATACTCCAAGCAGTTCGCCGCCGTTGCAAAGGTCAAGAACGTAGTACAGAGACATTTCGTCCTGGAACGTGTAGTAAAGGCGTACGATTCCCGGGTGCTCGGTAAGGCGGTTCAAGGTGTTCTTCTCAATGTTGACGTACTTGATCTTCTTCTCCTTGATGATGTGCTTCTTCTCAAGGACTTTGATGGCGTACTCCTTGAGAGTTTGTCGATCAGTGGCTAGATAGACCGTACTGTACGACCCCTCTCCGAGCACGCGGCCAAAGGCGAAGTCTCTAACTCCCTTTTTGACATGTCGAATAACTGTCTTGCCGTTCGAATCTGTTTCCCTGCGCACGCCTACAGCGGCACCGCGGTCCTTCCACTCTTCGCTGCTGGTTGGTAGCGGTGCCTCTGGGCCATAAGGATCTTGCGGGCCTACTGGCGCTGCTGTTGCCGAAACATATCCACCACCCATGCCTTTCGAGCTCCTCCGTGGGGGCAAGGATCCGGAGCCAGGAGGCAGCTGGGATTGACGAGCTGGATTGGCTGGCGCCCTGTAGCTCGGCTCCCTCGTTGGTGTTGAGCTGCTTGGGTAGCCCTGGGCGTGGTTCGAGTCTTGCCGTGCGAGCAATCCGTAGGCAGAATGCCGCGACCGGTCGCTGTGGGCTTGCGGTTGATGAAGCGGGTGTCCTTCCTCGGTTGCCACGGGCTGATGGCTATATAGTGCGGATACAGGCCGCGCCGTTGGTGATACGGAAGATCGGTTCCCTGGAGCTCTATCGAGTTCGGAGTATGGGGAGACGGGCTGTCTGTAGACGTCTGCTCGCATTGCCGCACTGGGGCTCGTTCGGCGGGGTTCGGCATGGCTTGGTGAGCCATCGTAAGCGGGTGACGGCCCCTCGGAGGATTGTGTGTGGGATATAGGAGACAGTAAGTTGTCTGACGTGGGAGCAGACCCGAACGGACTCGTGGATGGCTGTGTGGTCGGGTCGTCGAGGGGCGCTAGACGGGTATGAGCATCAAGTTGATACTGCTGCTGACGTTTATGGTCATGGTCTGGTTGCTGTTCGGTCGATGATGGGGTGTCGGCGTCTTGAGGGTCGCTTGGAGAGGCATCGGCGTCATCTGGATTGGCTATTCGTAGTCCCCCGAGGGCCCTCGATAGACTGAGGTCCCCATTCATGATTCGTGTTCAAGTCGGAGGCGGGCTGGTAGGAGGGGAAGGAGGGGAAAGAAGAGGGGGAGACAAGCTGGGAATAAAGGCGACAGAATGACGATGGGGAAAAAATGATATGGACAAGAGTGAAGGTGACGTGGTGGTGAAGATGAGGTACGAGTCGGGTGTGGGTGTGGCTCGGAATGCCTCTTGGGATGGCCAGGTGAGGCGAGTTAAGGAACGACGCGGCGCAGCACAACAAAAAGCGGATGCAAGACGATTGAGGTCGTCAGTCCAGTGCCGGGGAAGGTCAGGCAAGGGTAAGAGTGGAAAGCATTGGAGTCCACATCGGCCACCACGCAACGTCCTGTCAAGGCAGTGCAGTGCAGTGCAGTGAAGACAATTGCTGATTCGGATAAGACGAGACGACGACGGGAGGTGGTGAGGAAGATCTGATTCTGCAGGACGGGAGTTGGTGCTGAGGAAGGTAAGGTAAAGGTAAGGTCGGGTGGCACACTTGCCCGGGTCTCTCCACAATCCACCCACCCGAAAAGGGCACTTACCTTTCCTCCACTTGCCTTACGTACCTCCCTCACTCTACGCAGTACGCTTATTAGCTAAGGTACCTACCGTCAGACATCTCCCTTCAAGAGGCATGGGGTATTATTGGCGGTAACACTCTCAGTGGCAGACCTAATGAGTTGCAGCCCAAGGGCGGGCATATTCAACAGTAAAATGTTCATGGTTTCCTATTTTCTAGATGATGTAAAACCAAAATGTTGTCTATTGACACTGGGCAGGTTTCTACCCGGGAGCTCCTTCTTCCCTTTGTCATCCTGAGGTACATTAATAGCAGGAAAGACCGACGGAAGGTGAGGTGGTCAACACTACTCCGAACACAGACCTAGGTACTTTCCGTAATACGGATACCTTCCATTGGATGAGGAAGCCTAATGTACCTAGCCAGTACCAATGGAATGCCCGGCGTTCGGGCAAGAGGTCGGGTGGCAGGCAGGCCCCTTTTCTCCCCGGGCCTACTCGCGCCCACTTAGGTCCACTTTAATATGCCCGGGGCGGGCTTTCAAGAATCGACCTCCCAGAGCGTTGGGTAAGGGGCACGTTGTTGTAGTAGAAACACCTTGACATCTCGATTTGAATGAACCTCACAGCTCCTCATAAATTAATGGTTATCATATCTGTCGCTTGCCTACTTATACATTGCATAAAAATCTGGGTATCTAGCCATGCTACCTGCCTTCGTCCAAAACACCAAGTACACAAAAAACTCCGACTTCAGAACCTTGGTGTTATTATTTTTTTCCAAAATGATTATCGGCTCTCGATGGCAATGGTGAAGAGTTCGTCGACGAACGTCGGTACATCATTTATTCTTTCCGCCTCAACATTCGAACTCTGCATGCCGCCGCCAGCATGAACGTTGGTTCTCACCTCAGCCACCTGTAGTGTTCGCATCTCAATGGCACTGCCGTTCGCACTAGGACCGCGACCGTCGTCATTTACGGCCACCGTCTGGTCACCGCCAATGCTGCCGGCCATGTTTCCGGGGTTATCGCTGGCTCTTCTGCCTAGCATCGTCGGTGTTCTTCGGTTGGAAACACCCACATCGTGAGACCCGGTGTGGGACATTTCGTCGGCTTTGTGAATCTCGACACGGATCTCTTCTGACACCATGATGCCCCCAAACGGCGAGGACTGGTTTGCTGCCTCGTTGTTCGAGTACGTGGGAGGCGGCCCATCGAAGCTCGAAGTGCCCGGTGACATGGGGTCACTGTCTCGTCGACCTGTCCAGAGTTTGAGGGTCGAGCTTGATGCATTCGAATTCGTCCTCGATGAAGAGCGTCCAAGAGCTGTGGGGATCGGATTCCCTTCCGAGTCAGCGGGGTGCGACAGGCCGAAGCGACCAAGGTTACGAAGACGCGACGGGAAGCGGAACTTCCTGTCTTTGGCCATGGCCGGACTAGGCTTTTCGAGCGGCACAGATTGGACGACCGGTGCCAGCTCGCGATGCACCGACTGAGTAAAGGCAAGATGCCGCGATGCGTCTCGACCGACAAGTTGATGGACCTTGAAAAAGTTCAACGGAACAAAATCGCACTTGGGGCTGGAGAATATGACGTGAATCGGGATAACCAAGCGGAAAGCGATCAAGCTTGTCGGTTGTAATGCCGAGCCTTCGCCTGCGCCTGCAGGTAGAGTGACCACGGTGCTGGTGAGAATGGCCTCATTGAAGATCGGATCGTCGATCCAAGTTCTCAACGCGTCGAGACTTTCGGTCAACTGCGTTGCAAAGAGCATCTCTCGCGTGCCCAGGTTGCTCATAGAAGCAATCCTTCTACTCACGCCGAGCGTTGTTAGCCGGTCCAGCTGCTGGAGAAAGTTCAGATGCCAGGGCTCGACTCGGTCGATGGGCAGTTGCACGCTGGGTAGTAGGTGTCGGGCCCCCTTGCGAACAGCAACGTCGAACCCATAACTACCTACTCGAGCGCGAATGCCAAAGAAGCCCACATGTACGCCGGGCTCAAGCTGGTTGTTGTCGTTGACGTACGAAGCCATGTTCTGTAGCTTCGTTGCCAGGTCCCTCGACTGGATCTGCATGCTAGACGCGATGATGTTGCTCACCTGGCGGAGCTCTGCGAAACGGTAGCCGGCAGCCTCGAGTCTCTCAATCTCTCGATCAGTCTGCACTCGGCGCACCAAGAACATGAGAGAACCCCGCCCGAATTCGTGAGCCTTGCGGCGGCCGATTCCCTTTTCCGCAAGATCGTCACTGTTACTAGTAGCTTCGACCTTCCTTAGGGAGCCGTCGGGTCTCAGAATGGTGTCGACATCTTGTTGGCTGCTCGTCTCATGTCCAGGACGCTCTCCACTCGCACCCGTCGGCAAGATCTCGTCCCACAAGAGTCCAACAGATGTCAGATGCTCCTTCATCTTCTCTGCGAGACCAGCAGCCGCAACGCAAAAGAGCTCGCGGAAAATAACGTCGTAATTCTCTATCAACTCGCCATACTCGTTGATCAGTTGGATGCCGGCGCGGGAGTCACGGTCGCGGCCACGCCTTGGGAGGTGAGCAAGGTGGTTTGTCATTCCCCCAATAAGGGTCGAGATACCAGACCAATTCCGCGACGCCTGGAACATCCACAAGAATAAGGGGTGGGCGATGCTAAAGTTGTCGCTAGGATTTTTCTCGAGGAATGTGTCGGTGATCTTCTCTGTAGGAATCAGACCATCGGGGTTGACAAGAATGCGGTTGTGTTTGTCGAAGACCGCAGCTGCGAGAACGACCTGCTGAGCCTTGCTGGCATAGCGCCTCATGATACGGGCAGTGTAAATGGCTGTTCCGCCCATGACGAAGCAGGCACCGATGGACTAGTCAAATGGTCAGCACTTCGGACTCTCTATCAAAATGGATATGGAAGACATCGTCTCACCAAACAAATAACGACAATTACGGTGGTGTTGCGGGATAGCTCGTTGCTTCCAACGTTGAGACGAACGAGTTGATACTCGGTACCTGTGGCAGCACACCAATGCATTCCAGAGACTGCCCCAGCCAAGACGACAGAGCAAGCAGCTCGTTTCCACCAGGATGTCGTCCAGGCTGCGCGGAAGACGAAGAAGAGGGCGAGAGCCACTATGCTAGCAGCGACCGCGATGAGTGCCGCACCAACAACATTTATCGGGTTGTAGATGCAGATGTAGTTGTCGATGGAGTTATTTCCGAGATAATGCATTCCGCAGATTGCAGCACCAGCCAAAACACCTCCGATGCAGACTCGCCACCAAGAAACGGTATTGTTGATACCGACGGCAACAAATGCAGCGAGAAGTACGGCAATAGGGACGAAGAAAGACAAGGCTGTGAAGCCGCTCGAATATGCAATTTGCAACTCTGGTTCTCCGTTGGCCAAGTCAATGGCTCTATTTCCGATGAAGTGCTGGAGGCGTGTTAGACGTGGCGAGCTGTTGAGGGCAAGAGACGTACCATGCACCAGATTGCAATACCGCCCATCGTCACCGCAGCGCTGACCAGGAGCAGGCTGTTTATTCTAGTGTAAGCCAAGAGTTACGGGGTGAATTCGTGAACGGTGCGTACTGGTTGAATTTGCCCTTGGGTGAAGTTCGTCTGTTGAGAAGTTCAAGCGTGGAAGCGGCGCCGATCAAGCTCACGGCGAAGCTGAGAGTGATGAAGCCGCCATTGAAGGCTCTTGGAACCACCTGTCCGTAGTACTCTGCGAACAAGTCCTCGGTCGTTGCGGGCATCTTGACAGCAACATGAGAGAAAGTCCACCTAATATCGTGTCGTTCTGGAATGTCTCTCTTTGACCTCGACGGTCAACCGGCGGCTCACTGATATACTTCTCAACTCGCGTGGTAGGCCGGGGAATGAGAAGACCGTTGACCAAGCTAAGAGGGAATATGGTTGCGTGCTTCCTGTGAACGGCTTGGGGCCCGTTGAAGACATATATCAAGGGTGTCAGGGTAAGACAAGAAATGGCGGTACAAGACTGGCGGATGCTCCAGGCGCGACAACGGGCAATCCTCGCAACGCATCCCCACTGACACGGAGTGTAGTTCTCATGAAGGACTAGCTTGGGGTCATGTTTCCCACCTTTCTTCTCTTCTTCACCCTTACTGGGCACGAAGACCAGCAGCTATTCCTGGGCCTCCAGCTTGGAGGACGAGGCTAGACTCGGCCGGTGTACCTATGCCACGCTTGGCCAAGGGCCGGGTGTTCCTGGCTGGTCTGAGCTGATCGACCTCGAGTGGATCGAGAAGCGGTGGTTCGTCGGTAGAGGGCAGCCTAGCCGATCAAGATCAGAACAAGCCTCTTTCTAGTCTACTCCAAAAGTTGGCGAACAACGTTGGTTGTTATTTAGCTCGGACCTTCGATCTCGGTCACCTGCTTTTCGTGACGACCTACCTTAGTGTGCGATGAGCTATTTGTCGTAGCGGGTCGGGAGGGGTGTGGCCCTCCTCGAAATTGGCCGCTCTTTTGCTCCAAAGAGAAATCATTGCTCGACTGTGTTCCGTGACGACCGTCTTGACTTGGACGGTGAGTTTGAAACCAGAGACAGAAGTTTAACCTATGCGAATCTCCACTTGAATACCATGAGACATGGAAGAAGAAACGGCACTTCAGCCACTTCTGGCTAGCCCAACGTAGGGATTGGCAAGCCTTTCAGCTAGCTGGTCGCCACATGGAACATGTCGTAGACACGCATGAAGAGACGCCTTCCAAGTTCCAACATCAGTACCGGGACCAAGTACCCCGCCACTACCAATGTACGGAGTATACATCATTGGACTGTTGGACTTCGAGACGTCGAGACGACGGTGGCCAGCGGCATGAGAGACACTGCAGGGTCAAGGGAGGAATTTGGCGGTCCACTCCTCGCCCTTGATTGAGGAGAAATCCAGCGTCTTGTTCAACCGAGGTGACTTTCACGAGTATTCCTTTGCCTGGGAGGCGCCGACTAAACCGATTAGTCTCTACTGCACGGCTCGGCGAGTTCGAGTCAACGGTTGGCTCGGGAAACTTAGCTTGGGCGCGGTTCTAGGCCGCACGACCAGCCCCAAGGCGAGAAGCACGCAAGAAAACACATTTTGTACCTCCCGCCTAACAATAAACCAAAAGCCACACTTCGGGAGGCATTCCCGCAAGAACACAACTTCCGTCGACTCTGAATCTTTCCAGAGCAATCAGGCTTTGCGCATGCCGCCGACGGTCGTTGGGATGATCTAGACGGGAGATGGCAGGATGATCTGCACTCATCCCTGCGGACGGAAACCAGGGGAGGGGGCCCGGGCGATGCGAGGTCGGAACTGGAGAGTATCATCCGGCTGTGAGCTTTCTGAAGAGTCCCGCGATAGAAGCTCATTCGCTAAACCGAGACGTAATGTATGGGCATCAATACGGTACTCTGCGGGTGGGATTCGCTTATCCAACTCATGTTTCTTTTTTTCCATCGAGCAGCATGAGGCTTCAGCTAAGCCCACACACCCGGAAGAGCGCGTTTGTGCAGCTACTTTATACGAGTCGCCAATCTCTCAGCCAACCATCGTACTGCGTTAGCTGCGCTTCCCCGACACGTCAAGTGTTAGCTTCGATCCATATCGTTTCAACGGGGGGGTAGCCACATAGCCTAGGTAGGCCAGTTTTGAATCCCAGTCCCCTTTCAAGTCCAACAACTCGAATATTTGCGAGTCGTCTGTGACTTGGTTTCGTCACTGGGGTCGCGAAGTTTACATCTGCCTTAGGGTCTTTCTTGCTTAGTCTGACAGGAAGAGGCGGCCGCCGAAGGCTTGACGGTATCGATTTTTTGGTAACACACGGGTTCCGCATCGACTTGGATTACACCAAACTTGCACTAGTGAGCGCCATGGATGCAAATATGGCCCACCGTCACCGCTCACCCCCCCTCTTGAACAACACACAGGGCTATTCGACTGAGCGTCCAGTAACCTAACCTACGCAGCACGACAATAACGCAGTAGATGGTGATGAGAGTGCAAGGGGTGCATCGTCAGCTTGGCATCTACATACGCCATGCCGCTACGGATACATAGTTTCTTCGACCCTGAACCTTGTTGTGACCCTAGCTCCGGGGAAACACCAGAACTTCGGAAGGGTAGAGGTAAGGGAGCGGGAGTCCGCGAGCAACGATTCGTTTGAGCCTACAGAACTACGCTTGCTTAGATGAAGAAGGACGTCCGAATTCTGTCGCTCCGCTAAACATCCCTGCAAGTCAACTTCTGCTACTTGACTCGAAGTGGCCTCGTTCTCTCTCACTTCTGCTGACGATCGAAGTGAAATTGTCCTCTGGATGCAGAAAATCTGCCGTTGAAGACCCTTCTTGAGAGCATCATCAGACGCAGCAGTTCATCCCAACCTTGACCATTCAGAGGAGACATTCGCCGCTCAGATTTCCATCGTTCAGGTTCCGCCGAACCTTGGTCTTTGTTCTAATGACATTACACGGGCTAATAGGTCCTAGCCAGTGATCCTCTTTGGCCGATGTGGCCGACACGGAGCCGGAGCGAAGGAAGACGTAGGGGGAGAGAGAAAAGAAAAGGCCATGGCGGATGACACGACGTGACGACGTATTACAGAGTCCACTAAAGAGGCATGCTGATTCCAATGTCTTGGTTGGCGGTTCAGCTGCAGTTGGGCAAAAGGTAGTACTACCAGCATACTGGGCGGCAGGCCGCATGCTTCTCGTCAGGACCCCCTTGCGTCACTCTTCCGTGTTCTCCATTTCTGTCTGTCACTTCTCCATTTACCACTTTGACCTCGCTTATTCACCCCTACTTATAAGATGCTGATCGATGTTTCCAAGAGGAGCGACCACCCACCGGATACCTACTACGTACAAGGTATCCATGGAATGCTCATCCAACGCCCGGCTCTGACGCGCCGTGCCATGTTACGACCATTCCGAAATTGACTGACTTTCCATGTTGGCAACAAGTTGGATTGTTTGTCGTAGTGACCGAACTCGACAATCGCAAAAGTAGTTAGGGTTTGCTTACTTTCTTCGGCTAACCAGCCGGTGAGCATACGCCACTAAGCCTGGAGACTACTAGTAGTTAAAACGTGGATTTGATGCCCCCCTTCTGCCATGTGGTTGTTACAATTAGTCGGCCGGTACATTTCCTGACCCTGAGGGAATCTATCGACCTTCGACGTTTTGGACTGCCAGCGGGTCCCCTTTCCAGATGTGATCGCGCTAGATCTGAGGGAAGCTGACGGAATGGGCAAGGGCGGAACTTTGTTGGTGTTGCGTGTGCACAGGGCTTTCTCTTCTAGCTTCTTCTAGTTGAAAGGTACTCACCATGACAAGTGGCATCTAGTCGAATTGGGATGATAACCAACCAGATCTGGAGATTGCCGAACTGGAGGCGTGAAGCCTACGAGCGACTGATGTTCGGAGCGGTTCAGAGGCATAATAGTCTTCCGCCAGCCATCGGATCCGATTCTTCAAGAAAAGTGTGGTCATCCAAGAGTCTGTCCCCTGAGCTAGCGACAGGATGGTGCGAGACTGGCTACAGCCGACGGAGGGCACAGAATTCTGGATGGCCCCGGATGCCCCGGCCGTCTGAACGATCGTCAGTTGGACGACCCAAAGTTGATGTATGCCCCTTTCACCACACCGGACGACAGCTGACCAGAGAAAGCAGCAAGGACAAGTCGGTACGCCAGCTCTCTACGTTCGGCGGGGGAAAGATTTAGGGTTCGGGTTCGGATTTCGCTTTCCGTTTACGATCTAGATGTCATCTCTTCTGGTGTCTGGCTGGCTGAAGTCTAGCTTACCGCCTAGTTGCTCTACATGACCTGATGGTTGATCAGTCCCCACGTCAATATCTGGACTAGGTACTCGATGTCATTGTCAGTGTAACGGGCCGCTTCTCTTTGACGTATCGAACAATAGAGATCGACTGATTGTCTTGCACTGCTAAGGCAATGTACCACCCACATTGACTCATGTAGTCCAACGGTGGGCGTCCTGGGTTGCTTGCGAGGCTAGATGTTGAGAGACGAGGTATGAGACATGTCTGTCCTCCACTACCTTTCAGAGTCCCCATCAAGCCGATTGTTCCCTCTCATCTTTGCCTTACTCCTATGAGAGACAAGAGAAGGGTGAAGATAGGCAGCAGAGTCCAGGCGTAGTGATTGCTTCCGAGGGCATTTCAAGGTGAGTACTGTTGCTTGAAACCGTGACAACTCCAAGGTCGTGGTTGCACAATGAGGAAAAGCTTGTTTATTATCTGTCTAGACATGTGGAACTCATCCGTGGCTCAGCAGAAGGAAGGACGGCCGGCAGTAAATGAACTACCTGCTTGCCTGACAATGTTCATCTATTCGTTCTCAATGTGCCACCAGTCTCAGTATTATCTGTGTAAGACCGCCTCCGGTCGTACAGCCAAGTCATTGAGATTGGTCTGATGGTCAAGAAAAGGATGGGTTGGTCTCCAATGCCCAAGCTGCCTTGGCTTCGAAGCACTGAAAGACTGAAAGTGGCAACTCGAGTTCCTGCTTTGAGAATTCCGCGATGGGTAGATCAAGAGGCTAGTCGCGGACTTAATTCCATCCACGGAGTCCACATAATAGTGGAAGGTGACAAGAACGGAAAGGTCCCGGAGATACACGGACATGGACCCGATAAATGGGGCCGTTGTCCGGGTCTGAACACGGTGGGGGCCTTCCGTTCTGAGCACGCGACGGGGCTAGGTACTTCAAGCCTAGGAACAATGATTGCCCGAATCACTGTCGTGCCCGGGCATGGACCCCAAGCAACGCGGGGCACATTGCCCCCAGTAACTGCCCGCTGTCCAATGTAAAAAAATCCGCCGGGGTGTGGAGGGGTATTGATTGCATCACTCAGCATCAGGTCCGTATCTCGTTACTGATAGCGGTTGATAATCTTGCACCGTAACAAATTGCACCCATACACACCTTATGCAATAGACTCTTTGAGGAATTGTACCTTGAGATAGGCGATATCCAATGTGCCGGTCTATCACAAAATCCTGATACTGTCTTTCGGAATTCAGTAGTTTTTTTGTCCACGATTGCATCCGAAGCGCCTACAATCTCTCTAAGCACCATCGAAACCTCCCTACCTCCCACAACAACCCCGCCATCAAAATGAGTCCGTCGGCTGAGGCGCCGAAGACGGCGGTCCAGGTCCTCCCTCTCACGCCCTTCACACCCGATCTCTACGAGCGCGCCTGGTGCTCTGTACCTCACCCCACGCTTCCACTCATTGCGACCGCATATTCCAAATCAGTCAAGATATTCTCGCTCTCGTCTCTTTCCTCCCACAGCTCCCTGACCGGCGGCCACACCCGCTCCATCCGCTCGGTAGCTTGGAAACCCAATCTTCCACCTCACCAGCTGTGCCTCGTCACCGGTAGCTTTGATTCCACCGCCGGACTTTGGCGCTGGGACGGTGAACTCCCATTCTCCGGTGACGGCGCCGCCGCCGCAGAACCCCTCGAGATCGACCTGAGCAAGGCGGCGCGTCGCCCCCTCGACGATGCGGATAGCGACGGTGAAAAGGACTGGGAGTTCACTCTCGTCCTTGAAGGCCATGATTCAGAGATTAAGGGCGTCTCCTTTGCGCCGTCCGGCGCATACCTTGCCACGTGCAGTAGAGACCAAACGGTGTGGATATGGGAGGATGTGGGCGCCACCGAAGGGGATGACGAGTGGGAGACGGTCGCCGTGCTGAATGAGCACAACGGTGATATGAAGGGTATCGCATGGTGCCCTGACGTGCCGGGACGCAACTCGCGGAGGAGATACAGCGCCGACGTCCTCGCAAGCAGCAGCTACGATAACACCGTGCGTATATGGCGCGAGGATGGCGACGGAGAATGGGTCTGCGTGTCGGTGCTGGAGGGCCATGAGGGCACCGTATGGGGTGTGCAATGGGAAGAGAAACCGAGAGAAGACGGCGCTTTTCCAAGATTACTCAGTTACTCGGCCGACCAGACAATACGGATATGGATGCTGCAAGTCGAGGACGAGGAGAACGAGACGGGTGGCCGTGGAGGCATCGGCGGTGGATTGGGAGGCATTCCGAATACAATGCGGCGATCGTTGCGCGAAGAATGGGTGTGCACGGCGATCCTACCCAAGGCACACACACGCGATATCTACTCGGCAACGTGGAGTGCGACGACGGGGCTGGTGGCCAGTACGGGGAGCGACAGCATTATCGCGGTGTACCGAGAGGACGAGAGCGAGGAAGTCAAGGCAGACGATACCGGGGATGTCGTACCGATGGAGACAAATGAAGTTATCGAGGATGCAAAGCCGGGTGATGTACCTGTGGGATCGAGCAAGTGGCGTGTTGCGGCAGAGGTGCCGAATGCTCATGGCCCGTACGAGATCAACCACATCACATGGTGCAAACGATACGACGCAGGATCGGAGAGGAAGGGGGTCGAAGAGATGTTGGTTACGACCGGAGATGAGGGATTGGTAAAGCCTTGGCAGATAATCATATCATAGACGACCCCGGAGCAATGAAATTGCCTCCTTCGGGCATCTTGAAATCATATGGACGAAACTGGCCATCACCTGGAATGACGTGGTTATTGAGATCTCATCGAACGCCCCACCAAGACTCTTTGGCGCATATTTTACAAGGCCAATTACACTCCAGAGAGTTGGCGGCGCTGGACGATCGGAATGACAAAGTCAGCGAGCGATAACTTTTTGACACTACAAGGTCGACTCACTTACGTCCTGCTGCAACAGCCCCTTAGTTCCACTGCCTTCAATCCCAGCACCCATCAACGCTCCACGTCACGATCCAAGTAGGGAGTCGATATGGAAACTGCAAAGAAGGCTGTTTCTGCGAGTATTTGCAGATCTGAGTCTCTTGTTTCTTGGACCAAACGGGAGCTCTTCATCTATGTTTCTGCCGCCAGAGACAGTCTATCACATCTCCGGCTGGGTCTTTCTCGGTATCATAGAAGGTGTTCCGATATCTAAGGTAATTGCTGATGACTGGGTGTTGATGGTCGGGAATTCCTCGGTCTGGGAAAGACGCTCTTCAAGCCACTTTCCGTGAAAGCCACATGTGGCTAGTGTACTGGAGATGTAGGTAGACCTGGCTTGCTGGCCGGGCTAACTCAGGTGGGCAGCTGCGACGAGAACCAAGCTTCAGAGGCCGCCCACCTAAGGTACCTTACCTCACTGCAAATGCGTGGACTGTGGCTGCGTGGTCGGATACATCTAGGATTACCTTAGCCCAAGCCGCGACGTTCAGCAACTCTGCTGGGGCTGTGTTGAGCCGACGTCACCTTCCATGGCGAAGACGAAAACCAGGCAGGTGCAATCCAGCGATATCTTGCAGGCTGTGAGATTTACTGTGTTCCTCTCTCTCTGTAAATGGAAACCCTGGTAGGAGAGGAATATAGAATCCGCGCAGGAAGGTAAGGTAGTCACACGCAGTAGATGGTCGCAATCGCAGTCGCTTTGCCACGCCCCAGCCAAACCCGACTCCACCGGCGCCCAACCTAACCTGAGAGAACCGGGGCAGTTCATTTCCATGTCCAACTGTCCAACTGTCCAACTTCTGGCAGTGCTCTTTTGTCGCCCAACGCTGGCTAGGTCAGGCGCTTGGCTACCTTATTGCTTGCCATGAGGTCAGGTACTGAGGATAGAAGTCTGTTCACGGTAAGGTAGGCACTTTCCGTGAGGTGAGGACCAATTCCTTGCCGCCATCCTCGACATCTTCCAGGTTATCCTTACCATAACCCCTCAATGTTTACCGCAAACCAGTCACCAAAGGAACCTTGCCCACCTTACCTTTAGATAAGGTAGTCACATACCATGGCCAAGCCAGCCCTGAAGCGGTTGTCATACTCTTGCCCCTCTCACGACAAACTCGAGTCTTGTCTGTGCCTGTGTCAGTCCATGTGGTGGCTGAACATATCGTCCGGGCTTTGTGGAAAATGGGTAAATAGTCAGTCAGAGCGCAGCAGCAATGAACGGATGGACACCACCCCTTCCCTTTGGCAACGGAACTCTACCTTATAAGACCCTGGGCTCCTAAACCCGGGTTGCCCTCTGTGGTCCAGTCCGTCTGCACTGCCTGTACTCTGGAGCCACCCACCTGTGCGAAGTATTAGTGCCGATACGCCCACCACCTACCCGTACCCGTACTGGACGGTATCCATCCAGACCTTAACTTGCCTTCCATTCATCAATACCGCACCGTCGTCCTTCCCCGCCACTTTTAGTCTCTGTCAACACCACACGTCCATTGTTGGCGATCCCCTCCAGCCGTAGCATCATATCCGCCGCCCTCTGGGTCTCCTTTGCGCCTCATACCGACTCGACGACGACCTCTGTATCCCTCTCCTATGGCAGGGCCAACCTCACCGGGCGCCGAGGGCCCCACGTATGCCCCGCCCCATCTTCCTGCTGGTTGGATTGCCCAGTGGGATGGTGCGAGCAAGAAGTACTACTTCGTGCAGCTTTCCACGGGTGTCTCGCAATGGGAAACCCCGACTGATGCCGCGCCCACCGGCGCGACACCTGCTCAACCTTCCGACCACCCCTATGGTGTTCCTCAACCCGAGGTCATCACCCATCCTGACGGCAGCCAGACGGTGAAGCACGCCGATGGCACCCTCGAACCCGTCAACCCCTCTATGCCTCCCGACACCACCAGCACGAGGGGCATCGACGGCCAGACAGGAGACCGCGGACTCGGTGTACGTTTCATGCGACCCTTCCCACTCCTTCCCCATACGCTACCCGCGCGTTTTCCGCCGGCTGCTTTGTTCCTGATCTGTACTCGAATACGATTACTGACTTGAGTCTCTCCCCAGAGCATGGCTATGAATGCGCTTCTTGGCAGCGGCAAGAACTCGAACCACGGCTCCTCTTCCGGCAACCAAAGCAGTTCAAGCCCTTTCGGCGGTATTGCCAGTCAATTGATGAACGGTATCGGGGGGCACAATAACAGCCACGGGAGTAGCGGGGGCGGCAAGAGTTCACTGGGCAAGATTGGCAGCTCTCTGGCTTCAAGCCTGCTGTCGAGCGGGAAGCAGTCTCAGCAGGGCCAGTCGCAAAACTACCATGGTGGCCAGTCCTCGAGTCATCAACAACAAGGTGGTCTGGCTGGATCTTTAATGGGTGGCGTTGCCACCATGTTTGGTGGAAACAAGCAGAGTCACGGTGTATGTCAGAAGGCACACAATACACTCCGAGGCGCATGACTGACTTGAGCATCTAGGGCAACAACGATTTCGGGTACTCCAACAATGCTTCTGGAGGCTACACCGGCCAGGCTCCTCCTACTTCTTACCAGCCACCTGGTTCGTCTTCGCACAACCAGCACTCATCTACTCCGGCCGGGGGTTCATACCACTCTCCTGCGCCGAATCAGGGCCAGAACCATTCGCAGCAGTCATATGCTCCACCTCCCAACCAGTACCCCCCTCCGCCAAACCAAGGCCAACCTCATCACAACAACTCCTACGGCGCACCGACTCAGCAGTCCCATACTCAATCATACCCCCCTCCCCCCTCCAGTGGTGCCCCTTCGTATGGTCAGCAGTCCAGCTATGGAGCCCAGCCAAACCAGCACCAGCAGCAACATCAGCAACAACAGCAGCATCAACCGCAACAACAACAACAACAACAACAACAACAACAACAATATGGAGGATATAACCCGGCCACCTATAGCAGCGGTCCACAAGGCCCTCAGACTGGAGCAGGATATTCCAGCCAACCCTCGTACGGCGGCCAGCCTTCCCAACCCAGCTATGGTAACCACTACTAGATGTCTGTCATGAGACTTTATTCAAAGAGTGCTCCCGTAGCCGAGTGGGATTTGGTGCGGCTTTCGACGTCAACAGTACACATGGGTTGTCGCACCTAGCCGTTCGTTTTCCCTAGTAAGATGTGCTCAAGAATGACGCATGGGACGCCAATTTGGCAGGTAAAGCGGATTTAGTCCCCTCCTGTGCACACCTTGCTGTTTGAGGATGGGGGATGTGAGACTAGTCTTGGATATTGTTTGAAGCAAGACGCGGGGGCTTTTTGTACCCAATGGAATTACTGTCGTTAGAGGTCCTTTCTTTTTGAGCAAGAGATGAATGCATGGAGAAGGCGACGCGTTGCATCAGTTACGTGCTCAGAGCCTCTTCTTCTTTTCCGTGGACTGGCCTTCAGCGGCGAGCACCGGTTGAATCCAAGCAAGAATGCGTTTAGATAGGAACCAAGCCGAAACCGCCACGAGGACGACGTAAGCGACGGTAGGCACCAAGGATCGTGACAAAACATTGAACAAGAACGGATCGAGGATTAGGTCAACGCTGACGGGCTCGACCTGGGCCATGAGTGTGTCGTTGTCTGTGAAATAGTCTGCCGAGGCTGAAACCCGAAGAAACAGTAGTGAATTCTCCTGCTCTCGGTTTCTGTTTTGCGAGGCCTTGTGTGTGCCGGCATCGTCTTGATCAGATTGACGCGAGAATGCGTAAGTTGCCAATGACGAGATGAGTTTCGGAGTATCCCATACGGCGGGCAACTCAAAGACATCGAGCGCGAACGCAGTGGGTTGCTGTATATAATAAGCATTCAATGCCAGATAATAACAAGGGTTTACCAAATAACGTACCGTGGCCGACCAACAAACTCGGAGTTCATAACGCTGACCTTGGGTCAAGTTTGTGAGCAGCAGCCAGGACGTCGTCCCCAAAGGAGAGTCCGAAGTTGGAAAGGACGCTGGCAATTGCACCCGTTTGGACCACTCATCGGGCGTGAGGACTTCTAAACGAAGATCATCGAGTGTCGGTGGCGTAGCCGGAACATTGACCGTCTCGGGGCCAAGAAATATGACCTTTTCGGTATTGGCCCGAACAACATTGAGGCAGCAGGCCAACGCGAGGCCGGCGATGAAAGCTAGCCGCATGGTTGTTTGTTGGCTAGGTAATCGACGAGGCAGCAGGTTCTAGTTGTGAGGGATCCGGAAGCCTCGAGGAGTTAACCGGCTGCCTGGGCTACTTTTGTTGTGATGAGATGTGTCGGTGGTGGTCAATAGTGATCAGCAATGTAGTTGAGTAAAGCTGTTAGATAGGTAGGGATTACTCGGTGAGCCGAGTGTGAGACAGGCCTGGGTGGATGAGGGGACTGCCTGGGACGCTTGGGAGGATGGAACATTGGTCTACCTTTCTTCAACCCTACCACAGTAAGGTACCTATTGCCCTGCAGGCTACTAGCAATATTTTCACAAGATGCCTTTGGTTTTTTTTTTTTTTTTTGTCTCTCCTCTCCTGTCTTAGATCTTAGGCTTCTGCTTTACCAACGCATGAAACAACAAACGTTTTTATCGAACTCCATTCTGGCATTGGATAACGCCAGGCTGCTGCTTTATTACCGCCACTACGGTTCGCCGATGGGGCCTGTTTCCACTCGGCGATTGAGGATTCCTGGAGCCTGGTGATTTGCGGAACCCGCCTTACTAATTGACTTTCCCTTGGACTCCGGATGGAAGGGACTCTTGTGTTTGGGTTCAGCCGCCAGTCTCTGAACCTGAGTTTGAACCCCGTACATTGAAAGCCGTTGAGAATAACCTCGGAGCCACATAGAAGAGGACCACCCTCCAATGACCTATAGCCTCGTCTACGGGTACATCGATTAGTCACTTCGCCCAATGGACAACGGGACTGTTTCTTCAACGGCTGTTCAATTCTTGGGTTGCCCAAGATAAGTTTCTTTGGTGCTTAGGTACCCATACATGAACGTAGATAGGCCCGGCTGGGGTCCCCATTTCTATCCGTCGTGGAACACGCCGAGGAAAGATTGGATCAACATCAACCCAGCCTGTAAGTTTTCCCGAGTGTACGGAGTACTGTGTGTTAGTGCGAACGAATTGTTTCCATGACTGAAAAGGATTCTGCTCCTTCACTTCCTGCACTGCGAACTGTCACTAAAGGTACAACGCCGTGCAGTACGCTACAAGCAACCTACCTACCTAAGGAATATCAGAAGGCCTTACCTAAGCGTGCTAAGGCAAGTTTCCTAGCAGGGCATGTTCGGGGCCAGCGAAGTGCGGTGAACCTTGCCTGCCAATGGCAGATTAGCCCGCAGAGCGAGTTCTCCAATGTTTCCCAGGTTCCGAAATACGTACCCAAAGGCTGCCCTGTACCTGCCGAGTCCCCCCGTTCAGAATTTCAGGGGGCCAATAAGACATCCCCGGTGCCTTCCGTCGTGCGCTCTTGCCATTGGACGGCATCGCCAACGACAACAGACGTGGGCAGACGCGCTTACCATTTCGGGCCCGTTCATATCAACAAAACTTCGCTGGACTCGCTGCACGGCCCCTGGCGCACCAAATTTCCTACCCCACCCCAACTTTTTGACCACCTGAGGAACCCGGTCCCACGTCCCACGTCCCACCTCACCTCACGTCCCAAGGTCTCCGCGCCCCGGTCCTGCCAGCAAGCACCGCACCCATCCCATCAGTTGGCAGTCCACAGTCCACCACTGCACCACCCAAAAGACACAAGCACGAGCCCAGCACCTATTATTCCTTCCCCTTGCACTTGCCAGGCCTAACCTAACCTTTTCAACCTCCTGTCCGACATCCTCTCGTGATAGCTGCAAAGACGACATTTTTTGCTTGCTTCTCACCTCCTCGAGTCCTGCTTCTTCGCTCTCCTCTTTCAGTCGCTTGTCTATACCCTCATACAACTTGCCGCCAACATGCGTGAGGTCATCAGCATCAACGGTAAGCAGATCCGACTTTTGTTTTGATCCTCCGACCCCACGCGTCCGCCTTCACCGCATCCTCGCCCCCAGCTACAAGATGCGCCTGCGGCAATCCCCTATCATAACCACTGTTTGGTCTTTTGCCTTTGAACACTTGCTAACTTCTTTGCTTAGTCGGTCAGGCCGGTTGCCAGATTGCCAACTCCTGCTGGGAGGTATGTTTCTCGTGTTTGCTCGATATCCCCATATCGCCGAGTCGGCTGTTGAAATCCACTTGTCAACCCGATACTCGAAGAAAACAAAACTCGGCACCGCCAGCTAAACGAAAACAAACTAATTCTCAACCTCTCATAGCTTTACTGCCTCGAGCACGGTATCCAGGTAAGCTTTCGACACGCCTTGTCTTCATTCAGTCCAGCATTCTAACGTGCAACTCTTTCACCAGCCCGATGGATACTTGACCGAGGAGCGTAAGGCGGCCGACCCCGACCATGGCTTCAGCACTTTCTTCTCCGAGACTGGTATGGTTTGACCTGACAAAACCCCCCAATCATCTGTTGAGCATCGTACTGATCAAACGGAATGTGTCTAGGCCAGGGCAAGTACGTCCCCCGTGCTATCTACTGCGATCTTGAGCCCAATGTCGTCGACGAGGTCCGCACTGGCCCCTACCGCGGTCTCTTCCACCCCGAACACATGATCACTGGCAAGGAGGATGCCTCCAACAACTACGCTCGTGGCCACTACACTGTCGGCAAGGAGCTCATCGACCAGGTTCTCGACAAGGTCCGCCGTGTCGCCGACAACTGCGTTGGTCTCCAGGGCTTCCTCGTCTTCCACTCATTCGGTGGTGGTACCGGCTCTGGATTCGGCGCTCTCCTCATGGAGCGTCTGTCTGTCGACTACGGAAAGAAGAGCAAGCTCGAATTCTGCGTCTACCCCGCCCCTCAGACCGCCACCTCCGTTGTTGAGCCGTACAACTCTATCCTCACTACCCACACTACCCTCGAGCACTCCGACTGCTCCTTCATGGTCGACAACGAGGCCATCTACGACATCTGCCGTCGCAACCTGGGTCTTGAGCGCCCTAACTACGAGAACCTCAACCGCCTCATTGCGCAAGGTAAGTTATACAACAATTATAAAGCGCTTCTTGCCAGAGATATGGGATACTGACTAGTGACCCGCAGTCGTTTCCTCCATCACCGCCTCCCTCCGCTTCGACGGCTCCCTCAACGTCGATCTGAACGAGTTCCAGACCAACTTGGTCCCCTACCCTCGCATTCACTTCCCCTTGGTCGCCTACGCGCCCATGATCTCGGCCGCCAAGGCCGCCCACGAGGCCAACTCTGTCCAAGAGATGACCATGTCTTGCTTCGAGCCCAACAACCAGATGGTCAAGTGTGACCCCCGCCACGGCAAGTACATGGCCACTTGCTTGCTGTACCGCGGTGACGTCGTCCCCAACGATGCGCACGCCGCTGTTGCTACCCTTAAGACCAAGCGTACCATCCAATTCGTCGATTGGTGCCCTACTGGCTTCAAGCTTGGTATCTGCTACCAGGCTCCCCAGATGGTGCCCAACGGTGACCTCGCCAAGGTCAGCCGTGCTGTGTAAGTTCTGCCATGATATCTCAAGATGTGAGAATGTATGTCGCTGACAGTTATGACAGGTGCATGCTTTCCAACACCACTGCCATCGCTGAGGCCTGGTCCGCCCTGTCAACCAAGTTCGATCTCATGTACTCCAAGCGTGCCTTCGTCCACTGGTATGTTGGTGAGGGTATGGAGGAGGGTGAGTTCTCCGAGGCTCGCGAGGATCTCGCTGCTCTGGAGCGCGATTACGAGGAGGTTGCTGCCGACTCCCTCGAGGGCGAGGAGGGTCTTGAGGCTGAGTACTAAGATGTGTATATCCTGGCGATTGGATGCGGATCAAGTTGCGCAGCAACAACCCCGATTCTTTATGGGGCGCAGACTTTGGTGTCATGGATGTTTGCAATGATGCTGTCCTACGGGGCCAAAGGCGTGTTTACTTCAGTTGTTAGAGTGAGAAAAGAATAGCCAAGTTTAATACCACGGGGATGAATCACCTCAAAAGCTTTGGAATGTGTGATGCTACGTATTTGTACCTGGAGTATCCGTACCTTGGGGTAAGTATTTCACATTTTATTCAGTTCAATGGCTATTACATGGTGTAAAGACAGGGCTTCATGGGAGACTAAATGTAAGCTTTGGAGCTCTGTTATCGATGGCATGTAAGCTGAAACTACTCCATTATACAATCACAATCATGCTCGAAATGCTCTAGACAATGGAACCCAAGGTCGGATGGAAGCAGACGGGATGCAGTGACACCGGAAGCACGGCGCGGAGGAGTCGGATGCGTCAAATGCGGATGGGGGTGCAATGGGAAGTGTGCCTGAGCTTTAAAATGGGGCGCATCGGTGCAGGTCGCTGGTCGACACAGACGGGAGCTAAAGTACGTACCTACTTCTTCAAGGCAGAGGTACCTTAGCACGCTTAGGTGGCTTGGCATGCGAATTACCTTAGCCAGCCTGACGACTTGCCAGCGGAGACCAACAGTTCCCCCCAGCCGTCCACAATCGACCTCCTGCTGTTCGCTACCTAATTACATTGGGAGGAACCAACGTCCAAACACGAGATACGTCCTGTTACATCTCTCTCTCTCTGAGATAACGGATCCGGGCACAGCATCTGTGCACAAGGTAACTTCAAACTGTTTCCATCTTTCCTCGTCAGTGTTTGTGGTTTCTAACGTGCTGTTTCCCCGGTTGATAGAACCGGAGTCAATCGAGCCCCCAACCCCCCGGAGGCCGCATCAAAACTGACGACAACCGACCGACCTTTCCGCCAATCAACCAAACCTGGGCCACCTCAAGCCGCGCAACACTCGTAGCTCCTACTGCAAGGAGCCTTGATATTCCAAGATGTCTGCCGAGGGCGTCGATGCTGGTGAGTGCGCGATTACACGTAGCGCTTGCGCGCCGGCCGGAATGGATAAGATCCAGCGTACTGATGACAACCGTGTATCATAGCCGCGCCGAATCTGAACCTGAACCCCGAAGAGAAACGTCTCTATGGCCAACTGTTCCGCCAAGCCGATACCGAAAGCGTAGGAGTTGTCACGGGTGAAACCGCTGTCAAGTTCTTTGAGAAGACTCGACTTGACTCAAGAGTACTGGGAGAGGTAAGGAGACAGCCAATACCTGAGAAACGGTGACGATAGCTGACATCAACGACTGCAGATATGGCAGATCGCAGACAAGGAGAACCGGGGGTTTTTGACGCCAGCAGGCTTTGGGCTGGTGCTGAGACTCATCGGTCACTGCCAAGCTGGACGTGAGCCGACGACTGAGATAGCCCTCCAACCAGGACCTTTGCCGCGTTTCGATGGCATGCCTCCTCCAGCAGGTCTCGCGTCTCCTACACCTCCGCCCGCTGCCGCTCTACAAGCCCAAGGCACTGGCGGTGGATCCATCAGAATCCCTCCTCTCACACCTGAGAAGGTCAACCAATACTCTGGATTATTCGAGCGTCAGCCGCTGCAAGCAGGCAATCTCTTGCCCGGTGACGCGGCCAAGTCCATCTTTGAGAAATCGGGCCTGCCGACCGAGGTGCTGGGCAGAATCTGGCAATTGGCTGATACCGAACAGCGCGGAGCATTGGTTCTGACCGAGTTCGTCATTGCCATGCATCTGCTCACATCCATGAAGACGGGTGCTCTTAGGGGCTTGCCCAATATCCTCCCAGCACCTCTCTATGAGGCCGCAACTCGACGCGGACCTCCCGCTCCCAGGCAATCACCCACCGCAACTGGACCTATCTCCGCAATTCCGCGACAACTCAGTGGCACGGCCCAGTATCGTGCTGGCAGCCCCCTTGGTCGCCCGCCCATCACTGCGCAGACAACTGGCGCTCCTGTTAGCGACTGGCTGGTCACTCCCGACGATAAGCAACGCTTCGACGTCCTTTACAACGACTTGGACAAGACTCAAAAGGGCTTCATCACTGGTGAGGAGGCCGTCCCCTTTCTCAGTCAATCGAACCTCCCCGAGGACGCTTTAGCCCAGATTTGGGATCTCGCAGACATCAACTCCGAGGGGCGTTTGAATAGAGACACTTTCGCCGTTGCCATGTACTTGATCCGTCAGCAGCGAACAAGACGCGACGGCACTGTTTCCCTCCCGGCATCCCTACCACCCAACCTCATTCCGCCTAGCCTACGAACGCAGGCCCGCCCTCAGACCTCAGGCTCTCCCTTTGATGCTCCTCCCCCGCCCCAACCCCAGGCACCGGCTCCGGTTCCGGCTCCGGTTCCGGCTCCGGTTCCGGCTCCCGCCCCCGCCCCGAAGTCTGCTCTCGATGACTTGTTCGGCCTCGATACACCGCCAGCACCCGCTCCTGCGCAAGTTGCCCTGTCTACTGGTGGCTCGAATGCGAACGATCCGTTCGGCTCCGGCTCCGCTGTACTAGCACCCTCTTCCCCAATCCGACCGTCGCCTACCGGAAATCAGTTCAAGCCATTTGTGCCCTCTTCCTCTTTTGGCCGTGGACTTACAGTTCACAACACAGGAGATTCTAACTCCGGTCGCCCCCCTGCACCCTCAGCGTCCGAAGATCTTTTGGGAGACGGTGACCCTGAGGTCAGCAAGAAGTTGACGAACGAGACGGCCGAGCTTGCGAACCTGTCGAACCAGGTCGGCTCTCTGTCCAAGCAAATGCAGGAAGTTCAGGGTCAGCGCACGACAACTCAGAATGAGCTGAACCAAGCCAACTCGCAGAAGAAGAACTTTGAGCACCGCCTGGCCCAACTCCGTACCATGTATGAGAAGGAAGCTAAAGACGTCGAATCTTTGCAGGTGCAGCTCAATACCTCGAGAAACGAGACGAAGAAGCTACAAGGCGAATGCATGACGTTGGACGGCACCTACCGAGACTTGCAGACGCAGCACCAGCAAGTGTACGCCGCACTGCAAGCTGATCAACAAGAGAATGCCAATCTGAAGGAGAAAATCCGCAACCTCAACGCAGAAATCGCTCAGCTCAAGCCCCAGATCGAGAAGCTCAAATCCGAGGCGCGGCAGCAAAAGGGACTTGTTGCTATCAACAAGAAGCAGTTGACAACTAACGAGGGTGAGCGTGACAAGCTTCAAACTGAGATCACTGATCTTCACAAGAGCAACGAGGAGTTGTCTCGCCAGGTGAACACAAGCTCTCCTGTAGCGTCGTCGGCTCAAGTAGCTAGCCCAACGCCCTCGACCGCCAGTGGAAACAATCCCTTTTTCAAGAGGACAGGTAGCACTGATATCATGGGTACTTTCACTTCGCCGCCACCTGCTAAGCCTTCGAGTGGTGACAAGTCCTTTGACGATGTCTTTGGGCCAGCGTTTCCTCCCGTAGGCTCTGCCAGTACCCCACCGCCTGCTACCTCGTTCAACCCGCAACACACAGGTGCGTCGACCGCTAGCTTGGGCTCGTTTCCGACACCTCCTGTTTCCACGCCTCCTGCTATCAGCAGGCAAGCTACCCTTGCAGCTGAGCCTCCTGCTCCTCCGCAGTCTAGACAGATCAGTTCGAGCTTCCTGCCGTTTGGCGACGCAAATGAATCTCTGAGCTCTTCTCGGGCTGTTTCGCCGCCTGCTTCTCGAGCTGAGGGCGATGTTGAGACTCCCCAGGCAAACTCCCTGCCTGGAGCCTTCCCCCTGGAGCCTACGGCTACGGGTCAGAGCACGGCATCCACTTCAACTGCGAGCTTCCATGAGCCCGCGGCTCAAGGTGATGCAAAGCCCTCGAGCAACGGAGCTGCAGCCGCGGGTGTGGCAGCAGGAGTGGCAGCAGGTGCGGCAGCAGGAGCGGCTGCGACAGGCAGCGCTGCGGCGGATTCTGACCCATTTGCAGCAATGGGCCCGAACGACGCCAAGGCTGATTTCGATGATGCATTTGCAAGCTTTACCAGCGCGCACAATAATTCTGACAAATCCGGTACTGACACAACCAAACCCTTCTCAGCTTTTGATTCTGAATTCCCACCCATCTCCGAGCTTGATCGCGACGACGATGACGACGATTCGGACACTGCCAGTGAGGGGGGCGGCTTTGACGACGACTTCGCCCCGGCGTCTCCTCAAGCCAAGAAGACTGAACCTCCCATGGAGCCCAAGGATGCCACTTCTCCGACTGCACCTGTGGCTGCGGCTGCTCCTCCTGCCATTGAGGACCCGGCCTCTCCTGCGCCTATCCCCGAAGCTCCTGCTGCGGCGCCTGCTTCCCCCGAGACATCGGAGGCTGACGTTGCCCCAGCGCCCGCGACTGCGCAACACCCGGAGCCCAAAGCTCAGTCCTCCTTTGACGACCTTGATGACGAGTTTGAGGGTCTGGAAGATGCCAAAGAGGGCTCCGCCGATGATGACTTCCAGACAATCTCTAGATCTGGCCTGGACGATTTCAACCCGGTCTTCGACAGCAGCCCGCCACCCAGCCAAGCTAAGACAGAATCTACTGCGTTTGGACAAGAGAGCAGCTACGACTTTGGATCAGTGTCGCCAAACCCGGCCGCTGGTGGGAATGCTGGTGCGGCGTCGAAGAGCCCAGCAGCGGCTCCAGATACACAAGACTGGGATGCCATCTTTGCCAGTCTCGACTCACCGAGTGACGCGAATGCAAACCCCACAGCAAATGCTGCTGCTGCTGCTGCTACTCCTGCTCCTGCACCTCCTACAGAAGAGACTCGACCAACCCCTGGCAGAGCCCTCACACACACCGGCGAGCATGATGACCCGATCCTAAAGAACCTCACCAGCATGGGCTATTCAAGAGAGGACTCCATTCTCGCCTTGGAGAAGTATGACTACAACTTGGAAAGGGTAAGTGGATTTCCTTTGAGGACTGCATGTATGCCTCTTTGCTTATATGACTAACTCTTTCGACAGGCGGCCAACCATCTCGCGAGCCAGTCTTGAAAATAGCAGAGCACAATTAAGAAGAGAACAGAAACGCAGTTTGATTTCCTTATGGGAGGCAAAGGGGCGTGAACCCCCATGATTGCAAGCGTCTTATTTCCCCCGCTTGGCCTAGGA